GTAATGCGTATATATATATAGTGCGGTTTTGTGGAATTAAGGAAATAAACAGGTAGCATTATATACTTACTACAATAGATATACTGGTTAGATAGGGCGATTGCGTGCCTGGGATGGGTGTGTGATTAGGAGAAGGTATTCAAAGATGGTAGCCTAAAACTGTTTCCTCGAGCACTATCATAGATACAGTTTCCTTTTTTATCCTTTTCATTGTTTCACCTAGGGATCATGGAGCCAGTAGACTAATACCGTTTCAGATTTACAAACATTGTATTTGTATTGCCAATAAAAGTATCCTTTATCTACATGGAGATGTAGACTAGTTTAGTTTTTCAATACAAGTTCGCTTTAGCAATACACGAAGGCCTCGTGCGCATTTTTGTTGTCATTCCTCGAGTACAATAACGATATTGACATAATGGATTTACTGACTAAATATTTCCGCAATAATGAACCCAGAAAAAGTCAATTTGTGTCAGAAATGTCATGGTTTGTAAATCGGTCTGTCGTCGGGGTTGGTATAGTAAGGCTCACAGCGGGGTCATTCGTGCATTACTGGGTGTATTTACTTTATTTACCCGACAAATGGGGATAAATATTGACACGGGGATATCTTAGAGGTGCACCTTCATCTTGACAGCTTCTTTATAGGGCGATAACCACCTATCAGGACGTGCCCGGGTAAACAGTATGTGTCGCCGTTGTAATTGGTAAATGTTCTGTAGCTGTATAAAATGGAGTCGCGATAAAAATCAACAATATAAAGGGTTGTTACCTGGTTCTTCCAACTGTATAAAGAGCACGATATATTAGACGTATAGTGGTACTTATCGTGAGTCTGGGCGAAGTTTATTAACGACAGGTGTTTCACCTTTCTACAAACAGGTTTTAGTTCATTTTAGGTATACATTTTCATAACTTTTGTTTAAAATTCTTTTTAAAAATGCTGGACACTCCCTACTGAATACATTTGTGCTATCTATAATATATGCAACAACTTCTTATTCGGTTTTGATATGTGTTTGCTCTTAAAAACGAAATTGCTTTCCTTGACAGCTTTGACTAATGAAACATTATGGCTTTCTTTAGCTGTAAAATCGTTCTATGAAAACCTGCTGATCTTGCTTTATTACATCAATGGTCAATCCGAGTTTCTATCATGTAATTGCCGTGTGTCTTGTTCATTGTGTCATAGCTGGTTAGTGATGTCATCATGTTCCTTCATTTGACGGAAGACATCATGACGAGATCCATATGCGGTGAAGTCATTGCTTACCCTTCCAGACAGCCTGTGATTTTGCCTTTGTCTCTGGATTTTGCACGGAGACCCTTTAGCAGTGTAATGTCAGAGCGCACTTTTCCTCCTACGTTTTTACCTCGTTAGATAATATTATTTACCATATTAGGAAAGCGTATTTAGCATATCTTTCTTCATAAAAGGAGTCTCAACTGATTAATTTCTTGTGAAATAATACCATCTCAATGATGATCAACATCTATTTTCTATTCTATTTGATAATAAACGACTTTAGTGTCTGGAAAACAATGAAATTAAACTGGATTTCATTACAGGTGGATGGATTGATCCAGTAATTAAGACACCAGTCTTACAAACAGATGGCGGGAGTTCGACTTTTAGTGAGCGTGTGCAATTTTCACATATATTTATTCTCTAACATTCATAAAGGTCTAGGAGGATATACTATTCAGATAATACTCAAATTCGTAGGTCCTGCATCTTTGCTACGGCTGATTAACTACATGTAAGTTGTAGTAGGTCATGTGCCTCGATGCTCGTAAACGGTTGTTTATTCAATGTGTTTTAAATAAGGTTTTCGTCATAAAAGCTTTTAATTATTGGAATAATAGACCGTTTCTATTATGATTCATTATCCCAAAAGTCGCCAGTTTCACGTTATCACGGTATGTTTTGTGATTTTTCACATACAGATGTTCAATCAACTTCGAATTGTATGTATGTAATACGAAAATCAATATTCCGATTTAAAAAAGCATAAGAACAAAACGTTTGGCTTAGCATGCTTTCTTTGACCTCTCTTAATATCTTGTCAATAAATCAGAAATGTTTTTTTTTAAATGCATCTTAAATGTAAATTTTTATAATGAATATGTAAAAATCCTTTTTATACCATTTTCCTAAGTATATACTGTCATGTAGGAGCAAGATGTGTTTTTGTTTTTAGTTTATTTTCTGTTATTGAATTACGCATTGTCCATCCCATTCTGGTGAATATCAATATTTATTTATTGCTATTTCATTGGACAGATAGTACATGTATATCCGGACCTTCGAGTTTAGCCCATTATCAAAATGTTATTGTTTTCATGGGCGTGTAAAGAAAACGTATACCCTGACCACTAGAAGAATAAAGGGTCCTGATTCATAACCCGTACAAAAGACATTCATGCTATAGTTATGTTAAGTAAGCTAAGGCGCTTACTACGGTCAGCTGTAGATCGTATCCGATTTTCTATTTACTTCCCAGACAATAGTGTCATAAAGGTCTGTTTCCATTGACAAAGTGCCAAACACCTGTCCATTGTTATCTTGTCTACAGGAACGTGCTCTTTATCAATATTCTTACCGAGATCAAAATATATCTCGTCTTTTTGTTCGCTTTCAATTGATAAAAGAAAACTGTATGTCATAATATACGTGTGTGAAAACAAATTCTTTTACACAAACACTAATGTTGTTTTCGTCTTCCGAATGTGAAATAGCTTGTTCATTTCACTGGTTTTTTTTTATAGTAATTGAGCTCCAACATGCATAACCAAAGAAGGGAAATTTTATTATTGTTAAGATTTTTGTTTAAAGCATAAAGTCGTCCTCATTTTTCTTACCTGGCATGTGTATACATAATGCATAATATAAATTGACGTCTGCAGTGCTATTTTTCACATGCGTTTTCATGCGAGTGCTAATGGCTAAATTCTCTTAGACTCATTATAACTGAGATATTGAAATTCATTATATTCCAGTTCATTGGCAATAATTATGAAAATATCACTCACTAAAATGTTTCATTGATATGGCGATAAGCTGATGATACTTTTGTCCCGATGAACCTTTTGTTCCCTGTATAATGATTTGTCAGCTTAACGTCATGTTAAGATTCGTTAAAGTTAAGGTGAAGCATTTTCGTAAACCTTACAAGACGGCAGACTCTGCTGGTGGATTATTAATCCCCGTGGTTTGCTGTAGATTTGATATCTACAGTTTTCTCTTTTGAGTGATGACAGGGTTCACAATATATACACTTTACAGATTATTTAGTTTGAAATTAACGGGTTTTATGCTCCTGGCCCTCTGTATCTTCAACTTTCTGGTCACTAGCTACACCGATGAGTGCTAGGAGGACGAAACAACTTACGATGCAATGGAATTATGTTTGGCTTACTGTATCTATTACCAAATGTTCAAAGGTGCGATCACCTGTGTGTTACCTTCACCTTCCTTAATGTTCGCTTGCTGCGTAAATTCGACACGACAGAAGAATAGCTCTGGTCAAAGGTATTGTACTCGTAAATATATCAGGGTATCGAATGACTATTATTTTGCTTCATATAACATCTGAGTTGTATTTTAACATTATTACTGTGTCGTAATGTTTACTTACATTCCGGCATTAATGTCGGTTTGGGTAGGGTAGTGTTATGAAGCTTCATACAAAGCAGTCTCGACATCCTATTTAGACTTTGATAAACAAAAGTTACAAAATACGGTTCAATTTAAGTAGATTTGTATGTTATATTCCAATGACTCCAACTGAAAATGCTTAGAGTAAATAAAACAAAAATGGAAAACAATTGCCACAGCGTCACAATACATGAAATAAAATTACATACTTAAAGGCTATAATAGGAACTAAAGATATGTCATAAACATCCCTAATCCATAATAGAACTGGGCCGAAAACGTTTCGAGACCGATTTGTGGATAAGAAATTATCAACATTCAAGCCATACTTCATTTTAACTCTCATCGAGTCCTTTCAGGAAAATGTAAAAATCGAAGAAAATCATTTCAACTACCATCTGAAATATATTGGTATTGGAAATATCAACATGTAAATTTAATAAATACAAACATATACCAAAGACTGTATTCAAATGTTTATAATTGTGTTAAATTTATGTTCGCAGTGTTTCATGTGTTGTAACAGGGCGAAAGCGAGCAGCGGTCTTAACACACATAGACATACATACTATCCCGTTTTCCTATATCTAATGGTTTAAGAGGAGAATGTAGTTTATTAAAAATGCAAAATGTATATGTTTTCAGTGGTGTTTTATTATGTTATCTGTGGGGTGTATTAGAGCTTTTATGGTTTAAAACCCTGTTCAGTAACAAACACCGATATGAAGGTGGTCAGACATTTAACAAAACCTTCAAGGCTCACAAGGAAACGACCTTAGTTCCAGGTGTTCCTATATACTCTGCTTTGGGGGACTATTTAGCCTTGTGTGTTGACGCTATGGTATAATTTCCCTGTCTTACTTCATGACTGGTGTTATCTTGGCTGTTCGTTTCTTTTGAAAGGAAAACAGTATTCGCAATGACTACTACAAACTATGATATGCACAAATATTTTCGCAACAATTACTCAGTATAGTTAGTTCGTCTCAATATATCTTGAGTAAATGAGTAAAAATAGCATCACCTATATTTAAAATATAAAAGGTATACGTTGCTAATTAAATAGTACACATAATGTGATACTTAATAAATAATGGGGACGTAGGAAGTACAAAGTCATACGGAAAGAAACGACGAATATGTGCAGTATAGGAACAAGGAGACAGAAACCTAACGCTAAAGGGCGTTGCTGTCAGTACAGAAATCGCTCATCTTTCGTTGTGTCTGCTATTTGAATTTTCAGTTGTTTTCTAAATCGGCTTCCTAACATGTGCGAAAATGTCTACAGAACGACCACATTATTATACCAACGTTTATAAACGTTATGTTCTGTTCACAGATGTGAAACATATCAAAGTACAAGAATTTGTTGAGCAGACATGAGGCAGGAGACGACCCGGTCCTGATGAAGTTCCATAGTAGATTAGCCCTACTTCTGATCGTGTTCGTACACGTCATCTGTGAACCAAAATTTGTAGGCGCCGATGAAGAAGACAGCGATGACGCAGATGATGACTTAGATGAGGAGGAGGAAGAGAACTTTAAATCTGCACCGGTGTTTAAACAATTGCAAAATGAAGCACAATCTTCACTTGCAACGCAGACAGTGGCAGGGGAACTGGAAACCCCCACTACTCCGACCGGATGGAGCTCAGTCTCGTCCACACTTGTGAAAAACAGCACTTCTGCAAGTACAACTGTACCACATGACTCCACCACATCGTCGTGGACGTCGCCTACTGTTCCAACCACGTGCAGTGCTGTTTCCTGTCTCCATGACGGCACGTGCATTGAAGGAGATGTAGGGATACAGTGTTTTTGTCCTAGCCAGTTCACGGGTACAATTTTATGTTCAGTCTACCCGTCTAATACGTTATCGTCTGTACTATGTAGGTACAGTTTAAGTAATACATAGTTTCAAAATAAAACGTATGCAACGAAGAACTCTTGATAAAAATATTTCATAACTTTTCAATCAACTCAATTGCCCGAGTATTTTTAGTTGTCAAATAGCAGTTTTGTCGTTTCCTGATGATAAATTCAATCTGCTTCCAATTAAATATATTTTAAAAAAAATCTGCATACTTTAGTACTACGAAGAGTTCGTTCCTACATACGGTAGTACCGTTCATACAGTATTCCTCAATTAAATGTTATTAAATTTCATGTGTAAATTAACCCATTCAATTAAATTATGGTTTAATCAATAGGTTTTATGCATTTGAATATTTACGGTTTTGCATCTACAAACATTTCTATTTTGTTGTAGGCGTGTATTGTGAAAGCCTCTTAACCTGCCAGTCTGACCCGTGTGGGGCCGATGTGGGGTGTGTCGACAGCCCTATGGGACCGTACTGTATGTGCCCGGGGGACTTCAGAGGCGACTTGTGTCAACAGAGTAAGTATAAAACTCAACAATGCAAAATTACTCCAACATTTCACGTGACAATGTAGATGGATCGTCCTTAGAAAGCATTTTCATTCCTTAAACAGTAATGTTCATGATTGTTCCTATGTGCGATTTTCTAGCACAAACTACCCATAACTTATAAGCATGCAAAACGAGGGCAGATTACAAATATCACTGTCACTATCTGTGGAGAGCTAATTCTACAGGCAAAGCGAATCTATTATTTTAAAAATAAAAATGTATCGAAGAACTTATTTAAGACTTCATTTTCTGACTAAATACATGAATACCCAGTCCTCGCTTGTCACAAGACATTAACAGTGAAGCAAAATGCAAATCACGAATAACTAAGTTTAGAAAGAATTTCAGTCTATACACCAAAGGTGTGAATTTCAGTCTATACACCAAAGGTGTGAATTTCAGCACCATTCTTTGAAGAATGTAACTACTTCGGTGTCATTGCCTGGTCCAGAAATTGGTTAAAGCATGCCAAATCCCAGAACGATTCCGAACTATACAAATAATAGTAAATAAAAATAATAATCTTTATTTATTGAGGATTAAAACCTGGTTTAGCTAAAATCTAATCTCCCTCAGGGTCCTCTATATTAGTAAAATGTGTTAGTTTTACTTTCTTTTAGTATCATACAAATGTCTAATAAGGATAGCAATTTGGGAAAAGGGTAAAAAGAACATTATATCATTGAAAGTGTTGAGCCATGATGAAGGGTGTGCCGACCGAGACATCTTCTCAAAGTAGTGTGGCGAAATACCTCACCAAAGAACAGAGAGCAGAAAGAAAACATTTCAAAGCAGATAAAAGAGGGGAACAAGTAAGGGAAATAGTAGGCATGGACAGGCAATTAACAACCCGAGACACTCTGCCAGCAACAACCTCCAATCAAAACACATCTCACGTATTGAGTATACAAATGACTCAATGGTAGATCCCAAGAGCCAAAATACCAACTAAAATCAGAACTCATCATATAGCATTTCAAGAAACTTTAGTCTTTAAGAGGGATGTTGTATATAGCCAATGAAGAAGCACCTCATTCTTAAAAAGTAGAAAGGTTCTAGGATAATACAGTTTTTCAATGAGAAAGAGAATCGAAAGAGGAACCTGAAAGTCTTGTACACCAATGCGGACTTTCTCTCTGCCGACAATGTCATAATAGAAGGATCTATCTGTTGAATCTCAATACCATGTTTAACACTAATTCTATGAACTTAATGACGTACTAGTGGAAACCTATCATGCATAATCCATTTCCAAAAAACACTTTAATCTATATAAGGTCACCCATAGCCTGCGACGCAGAAGGAATGGGCGATAATTTAGACAAGAATGTTTATAGTGACGTCAGCCTGGCATACTGAGTAGCAATGACTTTTTTCAGAAAGAATTAATAACTGTTTCTTGTTCCAATATGTATTTCAATTCACGACACAATAAGAGGACCATTTACCTACGTTACTATACCACCAATTAACCGAAGAGGGGGAAAACGGTGAAGACTATACCGTAAGCTACATGTACAAACAAGATCTAGGCGAAAATGTCTTTTGAAATAATATTTCAAAGAGCAACATAAACAATATGTTTTTGAACGAACCAAACTTCAAAAACGGAAACTAAGAACTTTTCAAGACTAATCTCTTGGGGAAAACACAAACAGGGAACACCTAACCGTAATTTGACCTCAAAATCGAACGAAACAAGAAAGGTTATCATGGAGAATATTGAAAACAAGCGTTCAGGAAGGGTAAGCTTATTCTGTTTCACTGACAACAACCAGCATGTAAATCTAGGTCAGATCCAAGTAATTCATATGTTTAAAGTTCACACCAGGCTGGTGTCAACAGAACTACAGGGCACACATATCACAACAACAAAAATCGATATTCACATAATACAACTAAAAAGTATCGATCCACTTCAATCGACAGTACAACTGTTAATTTGATTGTTTTACTGTTCCGCTAAATAATGTATTCACGAAACAATACTAGTTAGTAAAGCGAGACTAAGATACAAGAGTAACCGATATTCAATATTTATAGAGTCATTTAGCTAGGATCAAACTGCTCAAGTTCGTAAACACTAACAAACAACTATAATTTACAGAGAACTCAAGGCTACATGGAATCTTAATATTTCTTATATACGTAGATCCCTTCAAAAACACGAGAGAGAAAAATTATCATAAAGACAAAAGTAAAACAGTTTTGTTAAAATTCAAAATAAAGTCCAAATCCTTAATCACAAAAGTTGCGTGATCAAATTAAACGGCGAGAGGAAACGTCTAGTACCAAGTCTTGTAGAAGATGTAGAATTATTCCCTGTCCACTCGCTCTGACATCGTTGTGACAACGAAATATGTTGAAAGGCTAATCAATCTAGGTTTAGATAGCTCAGCAGGACCAAACAGTTAGCATCCCAAACATTTTCACAAAACATCCAATCTGAATTTTGAAACTGGTTTGCAATAAATTCATCCGTGAAGGCATAACACTCACAGAAAGGAAACCGACGAACGTCTTGTCCAATACATAAAGGGGTTTGATCAAGCTGGGGAGAAATAATCTACCCATCAGCTGGACCTCGGTACATTGTAAATTGCTGAAGCGCATTTTAAAGATAAAATTATTCTACGAATGATTAACAACAGCGTCAACACGGTTTTAGACTTGGACAATCATACGCAGAACATCTACTTGAGGTTCCGGAAGATTTGACGACTGCCATGGGTAAGGATGAAATGTATTCATCAATGTCTTCACAATGGCTTCTTCTTTACAAGTTGAAAGCGCACAGCATCAAAGGAAATGCATGTATGAATGACTGGACAAAACAATCTGGGTAATATGAAGCGCAGTATCGTTATCAATGAAACTGCACCGAGCTCAAACATCTTGACCAATTTGATCCCGCAGGGAGGTGCTATCGGGGCGATTTGGTCCTAACCTGTGTATATGACTTGGTAGAAGCCGTTTTTTCCATTTTATATGATCTGCAGATGGTACAAAAATATATTACAAAGGATCTAAATCAGTATCAGTAAGTGTACAATGGCCTGAGAGGTTAGAGAACAATAAATCAGATATGTACCTGGTAAGAGCCAGCAAAGTATGTAAACACGTTTTCGCGGACGTATTCAGGAGAAAGGTGGTGTTGGGAAGCCTTTTCAGAAGGTTTACATGTGTAAGCCAATCTGCAATTCTTAACACTATAAAAGCCATCAGGTAGACCACATCTTGACTTTTAAAAATACTGCTAAAATATCCTGCAACATATATTCAGACATCATTCACACGTTTTATACGTTAAGAGGAAAGAATTATCCACCACTCCGATCAATCTTTACAGGCAACCGAAGTGATGAAGCTCCCTCGTGGTAACCACTCTGATACATGTAGGAGGTGACCGAAACCTCTAACCTTCATTGGGCAGGTTACCCACCCACGAAAAATAACTAAAAATGATAGTTTTAATTTAGAACAGTACTTCTCTAGGCCAAAAGATTGTTTCTGATCTCTAATGGGAAACATTGGTCAAAGATCTTGGGCGTGATGTATCTCTTAAACTATTTTATAAAAGTTGATGGCGTTTATCGTATTCCTCCTTATTGTTAATAAATTTAATTTTGCTTTGAATTTATAATAACTAGAAATATTTGAGTCAAAAACAGTAACTTCATTACTGAACATGTAAGATATGAATAATATTAATTCGAGTAAAATTTTGATTGAAACCAGGCCTACACATCGTGGAGTATTTCAAAACGTTCTGGAGAAGTAAAAATCATAAATAATGATTTAAAGAAAACAAAAGATGTACAATTACGACAATCCTTCGGATATGATCATATGAACAGTATATGTCTTGTGGAAATGTATACAGTCAGAGAGGTTTGAAACTATTTTACTCGCCTCTCTCTAGAAGGTCGTGCTCTCATTGGTTCAAGAACATTGCGTGTTGGCGTAATAAAGCTTGTACCTCGTCACTTAAACAACAATGCTACCATCATACAATTCAATTGATTGACAGACACTCTTAGAGATAAATTGATTATGGAGTATACATGTGCAGCAATGTCCTCAACTTTTTTTTCATTTTGTTTTTGTATTTCAGGTGACTTCCATGTCCAGTGTTCCGTCTCCACCACACAGACGTTTCACGACCTGACAACACAAGGGGCGGGGCCCATCACATGTTTTGCCGCCAATAGCACCACCCAATCAATATGTTTCGATATGGACGACTCATTGGTGTATTCTATCGACAACCCAAATCCTGGGCCCTTCAACATCACCTACAATGCTCTTGGGGACAGTTTCTGTCTGTATGCTGACTCCGCTATGGTGCAGGGAGGCACGCATTGTGTAAGTGGTGTGGATATTTCCGCGGTATATATCAGCTCATGAATGGTTCGGACTTCCATTATTATTATTTGTTAGATTTTATGAAGAACGATATCAACTGTCTGGATATCGGGTAATATAAAATGTTGACAGGTAGTATAACTTTGAATACCAATTAGTTTTACATTTTATATTACTTTTTTGCTAACAAGTCAATGGTCGCCACAGTCCAGCATACACGCCAGTTTGATGTGTTTTATGTAATTCTGAAGAAATTTCATAAAAATAGAGAAAATAAAACTAAATGTGATTAAATTATTATTAAACTTGTAGAGAACCAAGCTCATAATTCGTGTAATTCTAGTTATTGAGTTGACAGCTTATCATAAAGAGTTACAGTTTCATAATTACACTGAAATATCTAAATCAAAATTACCGTTGGTAAAAGACCGGGTGCCGCAACTACGCTGTTCATATTGACATTCATGTGACGTATGTACTTTTAAACATGGATGCACTGTCATTCTTCGATCGAGGCATTGTTAGAACTGTGATAACTGTCATCAATTTTGAAGTTTTAAACAACATGAGCAAAGTTAATCGCATAGTATGAAAGCGAATGGTTTTGAAGCTAGTCTTATTGGATACTATCTATATGATATATTTGGCGCTTTCATGATGTTATTGTATCAATGGGGAAGAAGCAATGGCCGTTATCTGACGCTGGCGTTAATTATATTTCCACAAGAATGGTATGTTTCTGGTCTGAGGGAGACTTACTGATTGTCAAGAGATTAATTAAAGTTTGTTTGAAAGATTCAATACAAAGATATCTTCGTCTGGATGGAATTTGTACAACAAGAAGCAGCTAATTTTGCCTTTAATCGCAACGGTGTCTTTTTTCATATAAGTAACTTGGAAAATGTTACTTTTTCGTTCTTGGACACACACACAAAGAAGTTAATGATATAGAAATCAGTTGTTTCACTATTCAGAGTTATTTAATCTCGCATATAATAAGTCATATTAATATGATAATACACGCATATCAAATGTACTTTTTTAGTTTCGACTTTGGGCTACGGAAGCAGACGACCTTCTGTACCGTCCGTGGCGTAACGCTAGTCATGACCACTGTGTGGTGTTCAACTCACCGCCAGTATTACTTGGGGAGCCATACTCGGTGACGGTTGACGTAACCGACCTCAGACGGGGTCTTGCTTTACTGGACCTAAACTACACAGACAATTTTGTTTTCCCAAATGTCGAGTTCTTCGTCTCTGGTAAGTCGATGTAAAGTAGACTAATTCGAGTTACAGAATATTTGTTTGAGATTCACAGGTGCCAACAAATGATAGGGCCATTCTATGACTATTTTAGAGTGCCTTCCTACTGAAATACTACTACTTGTAAATTCACTCAATAAAACGTATATTGATATTCTGGTGTATATTTAGACACAGCAAAGATTTTTAAAAAATCTTATTGTAAATTACGAAAAAAACTCAAATATTAATAGAAGGAGATCGAGAACAGATCCCTGTGGCACTCCCGAAGATCTTTTTTGTCATCGGGTACGTACGTGCACGTGTTAGTTGCTTTTTTCAAAACAACATTTTATCCGACATAATTTCTCTGGGATTGGGGAAAAATAAAAAGCATTTACATGTTTCTCCAGAAAACTCAAACATCTCCAATAATATTATCAAAAGCTTATTCTTGAATAAAATTATATTTATAAAATAAAAATAGTATGCAACTTAAGCTATTGCAAATAATGTTTACAGTGTTAATGTTAAGCTAACAAAGCTTTGATCACGAAATTAGATTATTTTTAATTGGACGCTTTCTATTGAGGATGCATAATTCAATATTTTAATGCAATGTTTTGTATATCATAATGATATAAACGAATATTTCCATTGGGCATAAAGTTCTGTAAAAATAAAAGAAGTTAGTTTTATTTTGAAATGTTTCAAGCGACAGCTTAGGCGAATCCGGAAGTAGAGTTCAAGCGAGTTTTGTTTGTAAGTGGAAAGCTCCCTACATGCGTGTGGACGATTTGCGGTCTTGTAACGAAAATCTGCATCAACTAACCGTCATGGTGCGATTGTGTAACACGAGTTCGGATTTATGTTTATATATTGTTCCTTCATTTTCAGTCAGTGAATGATAGTGACATTTTCTAACGTATCTTCGACCAAAGTCAACAAGACTGTGTCCTACATTGTATATCAGGCACATACGTTAAAAATATTGAAATTGTCTTCCCAACTATATCAATTTTAGGTTAGGGAAGACATGTCATATTTTCCATGTTTTTTACATTTCAGATGCCAATGATCCTATGTAAACAAATGGGAACAAAATAATAAATAGCAATTTCAGAGTCAAAACAAAGTGCAAATAGACTTGTCCATTAAAACCCAGTCAAAACTCGTTTTAAGGGATTCAAGAGTGTGCTCTTAAAAGCCGATTGAAAGAAAAACCCTGATTACACCACTTTTAAATGCCTGGAGAACCAGGATTTTTATGAGAAAAAATACTGTTATCCTGGTATAACTCAAGGCCGAGTGCCACAACACCTTGCAATTGGCCGTTTTCGTTTAAACGGTCAAACCGGTCGGACCAGAGTTGTTCGTTAATTAAATAAGGTCAGACCCAATAGTCTGATGCTGCTTTCAGGCAAGCCTTGACAAAGCCTTGCAAGGCCTGCATAAACATTTGCAGGTCCGCCAGGATTTATACCCGAAATTGTTACATTTATAAACGGTCAAACCGGTTGTTCCGCCTAAACGAAAAGGCCCCTGGCCAACATATATCTTTTCCCAATGGAAGTGAAGCATTGACACAGTCTGTGTCTAGCAGGAGATGTGACAGCTTCCATTCAATTTAAGAAAAGACTAGGCCAAGTTTCCTCAGCGCACACCAGACATCTATCTGTCAAATTATCCAAGTCAAGTGTCGGGGCCAGAGGAAAGTGTCTAAGAAAAAGCACGGTTCTGTATGTACATTGTTTGTTGTTGCCAATTAATGTTCTGGATTAAAATTCCACTCTTGGCATAAACAGTCACATAATATATTGCCAGATGGTATATTGTAATGTTCTATCATCGGCTGACATATACATATTGCATAAAGTGTGAATAATACCAACATATTTGTGCTGGGGAAATTTGAGATTTTAGAAAATCTTCTATATGTGTAGAAGATTACAAAATTGCTAGTTAACCGTAATGTTATATAAATAGTGTGAAGTTTTTGAAAAAAGAGGGAGGTGTGTAGCAAGACTGGGCCTAGTACCTACATGCATGTGTCTATACTGTCTAGGAAGCTAGTTTGATTGGAGTGTAACAGGAAAGAGAATAGTGTGCTTCCACCAGGGATCAAACCCGCAATCCCTCGGTTCCTTGTCCGACGCTCTACCACTGAGCTAAAGGGAAATCCCCTCTGGCTCGAAGCTAGAAGGTGACCGTAATCCTATGTACAATTAACATCTGCCACACTACTCCTCCTTTTTAAATGTTTGCCCTCGAACACCACAACCCAGGTTCTAACTCCCTATCATCACAGTAAGGAACTACAGGCCACAGACACAATTAATATTTGTAACAGGAAAGAAAATAGTGTGCTTCCACCGGGGATGAAGCCCACGATCCCTAGGTTCCTACATGTAGTCAGATGCTCTACCACTGAGCTTAGGGAGATTCCCTCTAGCTCAAAGCTAGAAGGCAACCGTAATCCCATGTACAATTAGAATCTGCCACAGGTGTACTAGTGTTCTACTAGAATTTGGAGGTCATATACAATGTAGTTAGCCCATGGGGTTAAATCCTGGTTTGGCCTTGATGCTTTTTTCGTCTTACATTACACTAGCTGCGGGAATCGTAGCTTCAAGGTCCGTTAACAATAAATAAAAAAAATAAAAAAAGATTGGGGCCTAGAACTCCGCTTTCCCGCAGCTAACATTACACCTGTGTAGCTAAAGGCATTCGGAACAATAAATTATATATAGGTACTAGTAAATTGTAGTAAAGTAACTAGGAACTTGAGTTAACCTCTGTTAATTTTTATAATTGAAAAATAAGTAAGAATTGTGAGTGACCCTGTTATAATGCTAACCCAGTTACCAGCCGCAAAACATATTGCAACTAAGTGGTAGTTTCATTCCATACCATATTATATCCTACCAGATGTCCAAACCACAAAACTTCAATCTTTGGAAGTTAATATTTATCTCCAGGCTTCCATATTCATACATGTAAGACAGCACTCTGCTCTACAGGCACGGTATAGTCTAGTTGTAGGACGCCAGGCTCGTGACCAAGGGCTGCGGGTTCAAATCACGGCACGGCACTGTGTTGTATCTTTGAGCAAGATACTTTACTCCGCTTGTTCCAGTCTCCCCAGCTGTAAATGAGTATGTAGTTGGGCAGTGCTAGAATTGTTGAATGCTAGCTGTTAGAGCCAAAATGGCAGCTCTGGCTCTATGCTCCCCAGGGAGTTGAGAAAGATATTGGCTGGTTGCAAAGGCCCTATAACCACAGATACTAATTTGTGAAACGCTTAGAGACGACCTAGGAACTAGGTTGTGATAAAGCGGTATATAAGAACCTCAAATTATTATTATTATTATTATTACAGTCCACTTCATACAACACAGTTAATTTGATTTGTCCTTTATCATATTTCACAGGTGTGGCACCTGCTGCTTGGGAGAGCTACTTTGGTGTTGAAACAGCAACAGGAATTGTTGGTCTGGATGCTGACATACCTATACCAGTCTACAAATATCAAATGGTGGAAATCAACATTACGGTAGGAAACTCTATATCGTCAAAAGTCACTGGGATGTGGCTCAGATCCCCCTACCCCACAGTCCATATATTTGATTAACACATATATATAAGGACCGTGGGGTCAGAGTAATTTGTCAAGGTGATTTTGCTGAGACTATAGCTAGTACATGTTTATATAACACTGTATTTTTCATGTCATTTTAAGAAATCTACTGTATATACAAATGTTAGCTAGCGGTTTAGCTAAATCATATCTTTTATAAAGAAAATATGTATCTCATGATAAGTCAAAGTTACATTATGAAAATGTTTCAATACAGTGAATCCTCATTATCAAGCAGAATGGATGACATACAAGGACTTAGCAGTATTGAGGTAGACTGTTTATTATAAACAAGTTGTTAAGACAGATGTAAAAAATTGAAAGATACAAATGTACTGGAAATAAAGAAGATAGATTGTGAAACCAGAGGTTTAATGTGTAGATTTTAATTAGTCATTTCTATGCAATCTCCATGCTTTAAGATTAAACAGTCTGTGTGTGTGTTACAGGTAACAGATGGCGGAATCCCTGCCATGGCCGACGAGGGTGTGGTACATCTTGTTGTCCTCAATGGATCGCTCTTATGTACAGCTCCGCCCGTGTACCTCAGTCTGGGGGCCTTACCCAACGGACAGACAAGCCTCGGGACAGTACAGTGCTCAGGAGTAGCGGATAGTACACTCTCCTTTACAGCTGATCCATCACAAGGTACAATTATGATATAGTTGCTGTTGTCTTTATCTGTACAAACAGAATATGCTATTCATCTTGACTTTAACAGCCCATAAATATAACTTATGATTTTATGGTTATTTCGTGTATATATTCAATAACTGAATGACATTAAAGAGGATATGCTACCTTCAAAATAACTTTTGTGCATTGTTTTATATCTTTTTAAATGACTTTCAACAATTTTACCTCTCAATTTTAATCAGGATGTATATTTTTAGCCCACCATCATATGATGGTGGGCTTTTCAAATCACCCTGCGTCCGTGGTCCGCCGTCCATCGTCTGTCGTCCCTCCGTAAACAATTCTTGCTATCAGTATTTCTCAAGAGGTACAAGAGGGATCTTTCTCAAATTCATATGTAGGTTCCCCTTGGTCCTCAACTGTGCAGGGCAACTTTTGAGACTGATCGGATAAACAACATGGCCGACAGGCAGTCATCTTGGATTTTGACAGTGAAAGTTTGTTATGGCTATTTCTCAGGAAGTAACAGAGGGCTTTTTCTCAAATTTTATTTTTAGGTTCCCCTTGTTCCTTTGTTGTGCAGCAGTGCCTGAAATGGACGGTCGCCCGTTCGCCAATGGTGATTAAAGTCTTGCTCGGGCGACCAAGTTGTCAAAAGTGAGGTATTCACTGGCCCAACAAAAACAGTTTGGGCGACTGTCGAAAAATTCATGAATAAAAGAAATTATAGTCCCTTCCACATTAACTGGGGGGCAGTACATTTTTCAGTTGTCATTACTTCGATTTGAATCGAACTGTCCGTGATTTAGTAAATGTAATGATTTTTTTTTCAGATTTTCTATATAATAACTTTGAGGTGCAAGTTTTGTGTATTTCTTTGGGAAATACTAAAGACCTGAATGGAGTGGATTATGTCAGGTTTTAACTAGGGTTGAAGAATTGAAAATATAATGTTTTATTTTGTTTTACATATTACAAACATTGTCATGTTGTATGTAATTTAAATGTGCTGAAGTATCGTGTTAAATGCTGTGGAAATATTTCTTCCCAAAATTATTGGGCCAGTGCTTCAAATTTTTTACTCGCCCCAAAAAAGAAATTTGGGGCAGCCAATGCAGGTTCCCCACTATCCTTTATTGTTTATGTTTACTTTTGAAACTGACCAGTTAAAAAACATGACCTACTGACAACCATCTTCGATTTTTTACATTGAAGGTTTGTTAGTACTATTTCTTAGGAGTAACTTGAGGGATCTTTCTCAAATTTGATATGTACGTTCCCCTTGATCCCTCGTTGTGCATGTTATATTTTGAGCTGATCATATAAACAAAATGGCTAAAGGAAGAACTAAACAGATCTTTCTCATATTGCAATGATCGATTCTATTTCTTTCACATTAAGTACTGTACTAGTAAATATGTGAAATGACAAACTCACTTTAATTGAAGGTTGGCTTTCATACACATCAGTATTAAGTTTAGATCAAAAGTTACCTCAAGGTGCATTTATAACTGTTAACATGACTCGATCAAACAGATTAGAGGAAAGAAGAGAAAAGATTGCACTGACAAAGAACTAATGAAGATGGTACAATGGTGGGCGCCAAGATCCCTCTGGGATCTCTTGTTTAACATGTCATCGGCTAATTGTCTTTTTTCCTTATTTATTATTTCAACCATATTTTAAAAGGTTTCCAGATTTTGAAATTCTTTCTACTAGAAGGTACATTTTATCAAAAGATAGCATATATCCTTAAGCATATAGTTGATTGCTTTCACTGTGATCACTTATCCTATACATTTTCATTAGGTTTTGGGTCTAAATAATTATTTTGTAATGAATTTTTGACAGAACATGAAGACATGATTCCTGTTCAGTATTTCAAATATACCTCTAGTATGAGAAAAAAAGAGTTTTGAAAAATATTGTTCCTTTTTGTGTGTACATACCTGGCATATGCAAACGAAATTCAGAGAGAAGCCCAGTGGTCATTTTACCAATTAACAGAACTCACCCAGGTGATACGATTTAATGTTCTTTCTGTAGGTTTGCTGGTTGTGAATTTCCAAGGAGACCTGTTTCTGGCAAATCAGTCACAAGGGTTGTCTTCCCCTGGTAACTACATCGTTCAAGTCATGGCTCACCAGCCACCGTTTCCTAGTGTCGCTGTGGACGTCAGCGTCAGTGTTGGTAAGATCACTCAGATTCTGGTAAAGAATTAGATTCAGTAATAATTTTTAAACTGCAAAACATGAAACTGTGTACTAACAACCATGGAAACAATAAAATCACAGGTGTTATTATTAAAGTGCATAAGTGTTCAAAATAGATGGCTATGTGTTTGCACAAACAAAGTACCAGCTAAATGCAAATTATTGTAATTTAATTAAACGGGCTGTAAGTTTCATTTCAAAAGAACCTAGCTACCCAGGAGCAATTAGTTTGTTAGTAATCATTTCAGCATGCTTCTGAAAATACAGGTGCTGTCATGTCTTCACCAGTTTTTATCTATTTCTACATGTTTAAGAAAAATACTATATGTGTACCAGACATTGTTTTTGTTAGGCCCTTTATTGTAGTGTAGTCAATCGCCTTTGATATTTTTTTTATTTTATTATAATTTTCACTTTCATTCCTAATCTAAAAGCATTCATACTGTAAGGTGCCTAATATATATACCTCTCCTATATTTATGTATGGAAGAGTCCTTATTAAGCATCACACTTATATATATATATATATATATATATATATATAAATGTAAACACCAAGAACATCTATACAGAACCGTTTCCGCTGTTTTATTTAGGTAAGGTAACTTAAGTGTTTCTTTTTTGACAGGTTATTTCGAGCCAGAGTGTTTAGCTTCTCCAAATCTGGTTCTGATGATTTCGGAAGAAAGTCCAGTAAACAGTTGTTATGAACTGTACCAATGTAGGTCACCATTGTTTGGGGGTCCTATGAACTGTGCATTACCTTCAAATGATACCCTAGGGAGCTACTTTGAGCTAGACTGCACAGCGATGAGCCAGAGCTTCAGTCATCACCTGGTCAATGTCTCGGTCTGTGTTAACACAAGCATAGCTCAGCAAAATCAACTAGGCATACACCAGGTAAAAACTACATCGGCTTATGTCTAGTTATTTCAATATATACCAGGTTTGTATTTCAGCTAGTTGAAAATGAGGTAGATATTTGTTAATTTGAGGTTTACCTGATATGCACCTTAGCTTGGTACATGCCAGATAATTTGACAATTAGACCATTATAATTCAGTTACTAGTTTCAAATTTTGTCTTAGTGCATGTGCTTTTCAGATTATTTTTTTGTGATTTTTTTTTTTAGGTGGGGGTTATTTGTTGGGCAATATTTATTAATTTTGACATTTTTGTACAGGTGCATGGAGAAATCTCAAATGCTTTTGGAACAACAACTTCAATTTTTGGAATAGATGTCCTGGCGGGGAACTTCTTTCCTCCATCATTTTCTATCGTCAATTACGTTGTGGAAATTTCGGAAGTGACTGCTAACGGGACTGATCTGTTCCAGCTGATGGCAACAGATAATGATATTGACGACGTCCTGACTTACAGTATCATTTCTGATCAAAGTAAGAGTTGCGTTTTGAGTGTCATGGCCATATGCATACACTAATTATTTAATATGGGAGGGTGTAAGGTTGAAAATGATCACAGGATTATAATCTTAGACATATACTTCATAAAATTATTCAATTGACAATCTGCATCTGGTTTCCTTGCAACTTACTTGAATTTTTTTTTTTAATACACAATACACATTTGTATTTCCATTGTATAACAAATTTGTCTTCTAAATATAATCAATTATTGGGAACTCTTTTGTATTTTCACAAATGTTATTCCATTATAATAGTATTTTTTGTTGTTCTAGATGTGCCATTCACTGTATTGGGGGACAAGCTGCTGGTGTACGGCAAACTCAATGCCACTTTTCAGAATTTCTACACCTTTCAAGTCAAGGTAACCACATCATAATTTTTCATGCGATATTCTTGATTACCTATGCTAAATGTATTCCAGCCCACCAGACCCATAAACCAGGGATCAACAAATTTCCTCTCTTTTTGTTTTGGTTTTTCTATTCTTTTGAATGTTTTAAGGGTTATTTCATTTTGAATTTCTATGGTTTTCAAAATAGTAGAAAAAAGTATGAAAACAATTTTGCATGAACCTGTGCTTCAAAAATTAAAATATATGTTTTTAAAAGTCTTGATCAGGCCTCCCGTATTCATAACTACTATTTTTCCCCATATCCATACCCTTTTTCAATAATCATTGGCTGAATTTTTATTTTTCAAGTCTTAGTGGGATAAAAAATATCAAAAATATATCATTCACTGATCAAATATATACAGTATGACAGCTAGATCTGGTTTACGCAGGTAACCAAATTATCCAATGTTCAGAATAGACAGGTTATTGCATAAATAACAGTATGTTTATATGTATATAATGTTTCAGGTGAGAGATCTAGTAGGACATGAGGCCAGGGCACCGGTATCCATCACCATTTCTGATGTCAATGAACCACCGATTTGTTCCACTCCCTATTCCTTTGTAGTGGATGCCACGGCTACCAGTGGCCAAGTCGTGACACAGCTGGCCTGTTATGACACAGACAGGCAGGCCAGCTTTCAAAACTTCATTTATCTACTCAATCCATTTGCATCAAGCTCAATTTCTTGTAAGTCATTTTCTGACAGTGGTTTGTTGAGTAGCACTTTTTTCGTTTTTTTGGTGTTTTTTTAAAACTGAAAGGTAATATTTGGTAGTCTGTGATATATATGATAGTGTTAAAAGCTATTTTGACAGTTGTGTTTTCATTATGTGTTGGTATATTGGTAGTTATTACAACATTGATTGGTCAGTCCAACTGTATTTTTTCTAAATGATATGATGGCCTCTGTACTGGAGTTGAAGATCAATTGCTTTTAATTGGATATAAAAAAGATTATTTTTTTTTCCTTTTCCAAGAAAGTTACACTAAGTATTGTTAGAATTTCTTTTTCAGTATATGCTTCTTCTAAAAGAAATCAGCGTAGGAAATATATTAATTTAAATCAGCTATACTATAAACGTTTATCAAGTCTTTTATTTTTGTTCTTGCAGCCTTATTAAATGTCAGTTCAGATGGACAGATAGCTCTGCTACAGGACATGGGAGGAGATGTGGAGTCTTATACCTTCACTGCCCTGGCTAGAGACTTCGGGGGTCTAAATACATCTATACAAGTCACCATGATAGTCAATAGTAAGTAGGTTTACCTGGTAATGGTGTAGGGGTCTAAATACATCTATACAAGTCACCATGATAGTCAATAGTAAGTAGGTTTACCTGGTAATGGTGTAGGGGTCTAAATACATCTATACAAGTCACCATGATAGTCAATAGTAAGTAGGTTTACCTGGTAATGGTGTAGGGGTCTAAATACATCTATACAAGTCACCATGATAGTCAATAGTAAGTAGGTTTACCTGGTAATGGTGTAGGGGTCTAAATACATCTATACAAGTCACCATGATAGTCAATAGTAAGTAGGTTTACCTGGTAATGGTGTAGGGGTCTAAATACATCTATACAAGTCACCATGATAGTCAACAGTAAGTAGGTTTACCTGGTAATGGTGTAGGGGTCTCAATACATCTATACAAGTCACCATGATAGTCAACAGTAAGTAGGTTTACCTGGTAATGGTGTAGGGGTCTCAATACATCTATACAAGTCACCATGATAGTCAACAGTAAGTAGGTTTACCTGGTAATGGTGTAGGGGTCTCAATACATCTATACAAGTCACCATGATAGTCAACAGTAAGTAGGTTTACCTGGTAATGGTGTAGGGGTCTCAATACATCTATACAAGTCACCATGATAGTCAACAGTAAGTAGGTTTACCTGGTAATGGTGTAGGGGTCTCAATACATCTATACAAGTCACCATGATAGTCAACAGTAAGTAGGTTTACCTGGTAATGGTGTAGGGGTCTCAATACATCTATACAAGTCACCATGATAGTTAACAGTAAGTAGGTTTACCTGGTAATGGTGTAGGGGTCTCAATACATCTATACAAGTCACCAGGATAGTCAACAGTAAGTAGGTTTACCTGGTAATGGTGTAGGGGTCTCAATACATCTATACAAGTCACCATGATAGTCAACAGTAAGTAGGTTTACCTGGTAATGGTGTAGGGGTCTCAATACATCTATACAAGTCACCATGATAGTCAACAGTAAGTAGGTTTACCTGGTAATGGTGTAGGGGTCTCAATACATCTATACAAGTCACCATGATAGTCAACAGTAAGTAGGTTTACCTGGTAATGGTGTAGGGGTCTCAATACATCTATACAAGTCACCATGATAGTCAACAGTAAGTAGGTTTACCTGGTAATGGTGTAGGGGTCTCAATACATCTATACAAGTCACCATGATAGTCAACAGTAAGTAGGTTTACCTGGTAATGGTGTAGGGGTCTCAATACATCTATACAAGTCACCATGATAGTCAACAGTAAGTAGGTTTACCTGGTAATGGTGTAGGGGTCTCAATACATCTATACAAGTCACCATGATAGTCAACAGTAAGTAGGTTTACCTGGTAATGGTGTAGGGGTCTCAATACATCTATACAAGTCACCATGATAGACAACAGTAAGTAGGTTTACCTGGTAATGGTGTAGATGGTCTCAATACATCTCTACAAGTCACCATGATAGTCAACAGTAAGTAGGTTTACCTGGTAATGGTGTAGGGGTCTCAATACATCTATACAAGTCACCATGATAGTCAACAGTAAGTAGACTTACCTGGTAATGGTGTAGATGGTCTCAATACATCTCTACAAGTCACCATGATAGACAACAGTAAGTAGGTTTACCTGGTAATGGTGTAGATGGTCTCAATACATCTATACAAGTCACCATGATAGTCAACAGTAAGTAGGTTTACCTGGTAATGGTGTAGGGGTCTCAATACATCTATACAAGTCACCATGATAGTCAACAGTAAGTAGACTTACCTGGTAATGGTGTAGATGGTCTCAATACATCTCTACAAGTCACCATGATAGACAACAGTAAGTAGGTTTACCTGGTAATGGTGTAGGGGTATCAATACATCTATACAAGTCACCATGATAGTTAACAGTAAGTAGGTTTACCTGATAATGGTGTAGGGGTCTCAATAAATCTATACAAGTCACCATGATAGACAACAGTAAGTAGGTTTACCTGGTAATGGTGTAGGGGTCTCAATACATCTATACTAGTTACCATTGAACTTGAAAATAAAGATACAATGTAGATACATGGAAATCTGACTGTATCAGTATTTAAATAATATAATAAATATGTTTACAGTATATATATATATATATATGTAGTGTGACAGATATAGGATATTTATGCATTGTTTTGTAGTTCTATCGGGAAAAGGCAGAAATAAGTTGTGATAACTTGCGCCTAATCCTTTTGTTGTAGTATGCAATAAAATCTGCTTAAACTATTAAAATAGGATATTCATTTTTGAATTTTGATTGCATTGTATTTATGCTTGTATTCAAAATTGTCATTTTTTCAACTTTACAGGATATTTTGCTCCTATTTGTCCACTCGGCTTTGTTGAGACAAACATCATGGATGACTTCGGCCCTTCCCGATGCTTCAGTGTAGACACGGGCTGTACTGATCCACTAGATGGAAGTCTGTTCTACAGCCTCACAGGTGGAAATGGCACTCAGCTGTTCTTCGTCCAGCCAGACGTGTCCAGCCTGCCGGTGACCACATTGACCCTATGTCCACGAGCCATGCTGACCAGCCAGCTTGGTACCTGGCATGTACGTCTTACTTGTGACCGTGGAATTTGTAACCATTTAGTTTTTATTTTAACTATAGTACTGTGTTAACATCACGTTTTTTTATACCTGATTAAAGTTTGGTGATCATCGGTCAAAGCAAAGCATCAAAGATCACCTTTGACCACTTGGTCGGGGTAGGGAACATATGTATATGAGCTCTGCTCACTTTGTCACTAACTGAGTATCATGATGTGAATTTTTTCATACACAGTCTTGTTTCTCAATTCCCAGGTCAACATTGAAGTGAGAAATCAGTTTAACCAAACATCAATACTAGTACATGTGGTTGTGGATGAGAAGAACGATCAACCCGTCTTTGCTGGTCCAGTTTATGTGGCCAGTATCTCAGAGAAAACTCCTGTTGGTGACTTCTTCTTACAGACTACAGCTCAAGATGCAGACATCTTACCTATCAACAACCAGCTCACCTTCTCTTTAGGTCAGTCTCGTGCCCAAGTTTGGCGACTGGTGATGTAGTCATTCTATCAAGTTTTGAAACAATATCATGCTATTTAGATAGTGAAATATAGTGCTCAAACTTGAAAAAACAATTTCTACTTTTAATCCTCACCATTTTATTTGGAGGGATAAGGTGGGGGCATATAATCTTATCCATGTCTGTCCCTGGCAACTTCATTTCTTAATGGGTTTTGTAAGGGACTTGGATAAAATTTGTACAGAAGTCAAGCTTGTCTGAGAATCCCTGGACTTATTTTGTATTTAAGAGTTACAATAAAGGCCAAGATCATCATTTTTTTTCTAGACGTTTTTTCCAAAAACATTAACTCAAATTTACCTGGGAGCAAACATATTCATTTTTACATCTTTTTTTCCAAAAAGAGAACTTTTTTGAAATTTTTTAATGGTTCTGTATTGTTATTACAGCAAAGCATCCCTTTTTGTATCAGGGTAATTCCATTTGTATAATTTGTGTCAATAAAACCATTAATTAGTGAAAAAAACCATCAGGCAATATTTCATGTTACTATTTTAATGGCCAAATCTGTAATCAAACCAATAACATATTTACTGTACCTTCTCATTGCTGTATTTGTACAGACCTTGGTGACGTAGACGGGTTTGCTATTACAACAGACACAGGTATGGTCAGTACCACCAGGGTGTTCAACGCTTCAAAACAGTCTACCTATACATTCAAAGTAAAGGTAGGTAACTCATGGTTATTAGCAGAGGTTTACAGATGACATTGATAGAATACGCTTACATAACCTGTCTTTTCTTGTCAAGATTTGGGTATATTAGTAGAATTCATTGCCAGGTGTAGTATATGAATGATTTATGTCAGATGCCCTTAGAGAAACATAATTGTAAATTAGTGACACAGTGTGTTTCAAAAAGCTTTTTTTTTTGCAAAGATTATATAATATGCTAGTGTCAAAAAGATTTTTTTGTAAGTAAAAATTGTATCTAAGGAACTTTACTACTGGGACTTAGTGTATGTCTTGTCAAGGATACAATTTCAAGTGGAGCCACACAAGGTGCTGGTTTTCCATGATAAAGATTCTTCTTTTGTTGTTTAACCCTTTCGCCCCTATGTAACTTTTGTAGACTCTACCATGCATTGATCTGGATGAGTCCATTATGGTCTACAGTGGTGAAAGGGTTAAAGTTGATCATGACATGAACTGGTTGACTTGTAGTTACTCCATCATATGTTTTGTCTAGTGCCTGTGTCGCAATATCTTATTTAGTTACCATGATTGGATTCCATTTTGTACCATACTTTAACCCTTTCTCCCCTATGTCACTTTAGTAGACTCTACCATGCATTGATATGGATGTCCATTTTGTCTACATTGGTGAAAGGGTTAAGTCTATTTAGGTATAAAATACAGGTAAAAAATACATGTTTAACTATCCATGTTAATAGATTTATTAATTCAATTAAAGCACTTTTATTTTTGGTATAGTTGCTTTATAAGAATTACACTTACATGATAAAAATGTAAATACTTGCATTGAAAACCAGCTAAGGTGAAACTGATTGTCTCCCCTTGGTATAAAATATCTAACAATAAAATGATAATTTTTCATGTCCAGGTGGAGGACCCCCAAGGTCTTAGTGACGAGAGGCCAGTGGTGGTGGACATACAGGATGAGAATGACCCTCCACAGTGTGACACCCTGGTGGTCAATGTACCTGTTAGTCTTATCACACCGCCTGGCACCTTGGTCGGGGCGGTCAACTGCTGGGACGGAGACATCCTGGCCGATAATAAAAAGCTTGTCTATGTACTAAGTGGATCCCTAAATTCTTGTGAGTGGAATCTCGTTTCTGTGTGATTGATATCCGGTAAAAAAATCACTACCTCCTCGCTTAGAATACACCTTGCTAAAAGTTAGTAAAACCATGTGTTGACCTAATCCGACAGGATAATTGTGTGTTTGCCATATTGCCATATTTTCCATTTTGATATGCTGTTAAATCTTCAAAGTAAATACTTCACACTGATAATTGGGTGAAAATTGGTTTTAGCAATGAAAGACACAGATTTCTGGTATATATACCCCCGGTAGTAGATTCTGCACAGAAAACATAGCAAAATAGCAAAGATTTTCCCTTAAACCAGAGGACAAACCCGGAACACAATTACACTTTTTTTTTTCATCTGTAAAGTATTTACAATTGTAAGTTACCAAAATAAAATTCAAATCAGCTATGTGTGAAAATTATCTTTAATGATTCAATGGCAAACAATATTGTTGTGCGTAGGAATATTACGGTTTGACATTAATGATCCTGATTTTCTGCAGATTTCGTTGTTCGTGACAACGGCTCAATCGAGCTAAGCCAAAGCTTGCCCCGCACTTCCACCACAACATACCAAATGACCCTGAAAGTGTATGACCAGTTTATGATCAACAACAACACCCAGACTGGACATCTGACCATTGCCCTCACTGTTACAGTTGACAGTAAGTTAATAATGTATATAGTGACCACTCTGATTGCACCTTTGATCTTTTACTCTCACCGTTCCAATGAAACTGTATATAATGTCTAGTGACCACCCAGACTGACCATTGCTCTCACCGTTACAGTAAACTGTAAGTATATAATGTCTAGTGACCACCCAGACTGACCATTGCCCTCACTGTAACAGTTAACTGTAAGTATGTAATGTAGCTAGTGATCACTCAGAATGGACATCTGACCATTGCCCTCACTGTTACAGTTAACTGTAAGTATATAAATGTCAAGTGACCACTCAGAATAGACATCTGACCTTTGCTCTCAGGGCTAAAGTTAGCAATAAGTATATCGTGTTTGTAGTGACCATTTTTGGTAAACTTAATAGTAAGTATGTCTTGTCTATATAGTGACCACTTTTAGTGACCACTCAGCTATCAGATAGCTAGGACACCTAACCATTGCTGTCACTGTTACAGTTAGCAGAAAGTGTAGTATGTCTGTAGGGACAACTTTTAGGGTTGGCATGTTTTTTATTAGCAAGTTGATACAGTTTAACCTTTAAATAAATATTTCTGAACTACTTTTCAAAAACAAGTGTGTGTTAAAAATTGCATATATACGTCATGTATGTTGGAGTTCCATTGATTGTTAAGAAATGGATATGATCGTCAACACAAACAAGCGCAGATGACCTGTCATTAAACAGGAACAATTCATTGTACTGTACCACTAAACTCGTTTTACCACCAAAATGTCCTTGAACGGAAGGTGGCAGTATATCAGGGTTATGCTGTATAACAGACTGTCACAAATTATTGTTTGGGAGTTAAACATCTAATAGTTTTTTGGCCAGACATGTTTTGTAATATTTGTTCTATTCCTGCCATGAAACACATTATGTAGTCTTCTCGTCATATATATACGGATCCCAAACATTTATTGTGTTATCATTATTCAGATATTTCCTTGGCTGAAAAATCGATACTTTGTATCTATGTCGGAAAATCATTGAATAATTGCTTAAAAACATCAATGGAAAGGATTTTGGATGTGCCCTAAATTTGGTAATTCTAAGTCTTAAAATTGGCTTTTTTTCCTTGACTCATGTATATTAGATTAGCTGCAGAAACTAATTTTAGTTATAAGTTGTAAGGCATTGTGAAGGACTTAATCACATGATTCTGAATTAAAGCTTCTTTTTTTATGTGGTTACAACATTTCTACTCTGAAATAATGAATTGTAATCAAAGTTCTGGCAGGGAATCAAAAACTAGTTTGTATTTAAAGTAAAATCCATTAATACTGTAAAAACACTGATCTATGTATACAATCTCACTTCTAATCTTCATCCCCAGTCAACATCCCTCCTGTATGTGACCGTATCCTCACCACGGCAACACTGCAGGAGATGGACGCCCAGGGCACCTGTGTTGGCCAGGAAGTGATCTGTGAAGACCCCACAGGGGGCAGCATCACCGTTCTGTCTTCCCAGGGGACGGGTCTCGATGTGGCCGAGATCAAGAGCCGAGCGAGTGGCAGTACAAGTGTACTGCCACTTAATGTCTGCACTAGGTCTACCATCAAAAATCGTATTCAGAACTTCACAGTAAGTTTGTACTTATATAAATTTAATATATTTGACACAAATTATTAAACAAGCTATTTCAACTTATATTCATCACTCTTGTTGGCCCGGATGTTAGCGCACGGGGGTCTTAATGTAGGATGAAATCAGATTACCCGGAAAACCCCACGTGGTCCAGCAGGTGACCCCATACCTTTTCATGTCTGATCATGAAATCAAACCTCGGCCTCCTTAGTGTAAGGCAAGTCCACCATCCACTGCGCAACCTAACCATTAAGTTTGTACTAAGTGCCAAACTTAGTGTGTTGGTATGTTTCTAATGTAGCTAGGGCAGAAAATACTTAATTTAGGAATTCACAATAAAGTTTGTTTTCTGTCTAGCTGCTGTATATTACATTCCTATATTTGGGGACACATTACGAATATGTCAATTCAGGATATCTTAAAAGTACTATGTGGAAAAATAGATTTTGGAAAACCCTTTGTTGGAGTTTAAGTCTACTTCAGAAATTATGGCAATAAGATGACAGAGGATTATACATGTATGTACATGTAAAGCCGTATTTATGTAATCTGTAGGTGTCTGCCATAGTCAGCAATGGTTTTGGTACTCAGACCATTACCTGGAAATTCCAAGTTGAGGATGTGAATGAGCCACCATTTTTCCTGAATTCCCTGTTCAACATGACCATATCGGAGAGCTCCGTGGTTGGTACGACTATACTCATCCTCGAGAAAGGCGACCCAGACGTTGACACAATGTTCAAAGACATCACTGTCACTTACGATGGTAGGTATAGTGGGTTCAAGTGGAATTTGGGAGACAGATTTATATTAACAGTGCATTTGGTTCAGATTCATTTTGTTAATTACTATAATTTACTTGATTTATTGTAAGGACAGTTGGTACCTCCTCACCCTTGAGGAAGGGGACCATTGGACTGTCACAATGTACAGAGTGTTACAGTCAATATTTATGATAAGTACAAAAGGGTACAAGTTGAATCATTCTCAGGGAGATATAAAAGCCTTAAATGAAATCAGACGTATATAATTTATTTAAAGGTTCTCTCTAAAACTTATTTTTTCAGTCCTGAATTTACTTTTGCATACTCATCTTGCCATTCAGGAACTTGTTTTCACTAAGCTTTTGGCAGTCATAAAACCCCCAGATATTTTGAGCCAAATGGGTATTATATGATTTTGATTTAAATTATTGTGCAAACTATTGCCCAGGTTTCTCCTCGTCTAAGTTCAAAATACATTCTAAATATCTTACATTACTCCAATTGTTTCAGTAATCAATACCCCAGACAATGTAGCAGTGCCGATTAGCTTCCTGTTGGACTGTTGTTTCCTCGTCACGGGTAAACTCAACGCTACAGAGCAAGACCTTTACCAATTCAATGTCACAGTAAGTATACTATTAAAGATATCTTCATCCCTAGGCAGGGCATGCTCTTTGTACTTCAGGTATCTTTTGAAAATTGCACATTGATCTGATGACGGCCCACCTAGTGGGCTAAAACTTGTAAACTGGATTAAATTTGCCAAGACTCCCCATTCCATGTTGTCTAGTCATCTCTTCTTTGAATTTCCATTACTTTTATGGCTGGACTAGTAAATTCCATTTGAAGAATCCATCATTCTGTTTAATTTATAGCTCACAGATGGGGGAGGGCTGTCACAGTCCAGGATTGTATCGGTTTGGATTGCTGACAACAATGAGGCTCCAGTGTGCTCCCCAACGATTCTGACAGAATCTATTTCCCTCCTGGTCCAAGTGAATGAGGTCATTGTTCAACTCAGTTGCCATGATTATGACAAAGATCCCAACAACAGAGAATTGGTCTATCAATCTAATACAGGTAAGTTGTTAATGTTTCTAATAGCTTTTTCTGCTTAGAAATATGTGTCTTACTTCTCATTTCATTAAAATTAGTGACAGGTGTTAGAAATGAGGATATCTATTTTATTTTAATTTTTTATGAATGTTGATGTTTTTCTCAATGTGAAAATCTTCATTGTAATTCCCTTTGGTTTCACTGGCTTTATTTGAGCTAGTTTTAGTTGTTTGGCAAACATTGCTTGGCTGACACCACCAGCCAGTAAAATTGAGTCTGATAATTTTTAGCAGTAAATTAAAGCAGGTTCAGCATATGACATATTGTCATATCACCATTTGAAGAAACTGATCATAGAGATACTGTCAGACAGCATTTGTTTTTATTGCTGAGGTAACAGAACAGTTGTTTCATGCATTATTCAAGTACAGTCAAAACTATCCCCCCCCCCCCTTCTTACCTAAAGGCCATGGGACAAAGTGCATCTAGTTCCTCCCAATAGCTTAAGGAAATCTTTTGTCCCCTGGGATTCTTTTAAACATGTTTTTACTTTGGAAAATTAACTTGATAACCATTACTTCCCATGGAGTTGTTATAACTTTTTTCTTTTTCTTTTCAGTACAAATATTTTATTCCCCCTGCCATTTTTTTCATATATATGTATATACATATACTGCTTCGAAGCAGATATATATATATACATATATAAATATTTTGATAGGGGATGCCTGGGTTGGGGAGCCCTGGAGTCAGCCCCTGAACAATATGGTGTCCTCACACAGGAGGGTTCTCATTCAACATCCAACATTCAAACTATAAATAAATAAATAGGAAGGGCAACGGGAAAATAAAATATTTGCAAATAGAGTACAGGACAATAACACAAAACATACTTCTTTCACACCCTAACAAATTCCATATACAACATAATATTACAAACAAGGATAAACATATAGCACGTATACACAAAAAACATAATACACATACAAATACACCCACATATATACTCATACACACATACATATATACATTAGACAGACAGACAGACAGACAAATCAGACATACACACCGACAGACACACACACACACAGACAGTACATACATATATGTATACATTGAGACAGACTTACATACATTGAATCAGATGCATCCTTATGCAGGCATAATTTCAAGCAGTTGAGAAACAATAATAAAAAATATAAACTTATTTTAGTAAGGAGAAATACTTGTTGACATTCCCTTGTGTTTGTTACAAACTTGTTTTGCTGTATAATTCTGTACATGTTGTTTGCTTGCAGATTACTTTAATGTGTCGAGCCAGGGCGAGCTGATGATCAGGAGGTCCCTGGATAGGTTTGTTCCACGTTACACAGTGCTGGTCAATGTCATGGACAGAGGCACACCTCCACTGTCCACCTCAGTGACCGTCACTGTCAATGTCGACAGTAAGTACATTGACAATATAAGGGTTCATGTATTTACAAGTTTAGGTTATACAACACACATATAAGTAATCATTAGAATAATATGTTTCGGTGTTCTTGCTCTGATAGCAATACTATTGAATGCAGAATGTTTTGTTTTCTCCATGTTTGAACAAAATATGCTGATGTGTGTTTTGCAGTATATTCATTTACAGTACCTCCAGTACTTTGGCTCACACTTGAAAATATGATATAGGATAGATTCAACTTTTACCACAAGTTGAATACCCATCATCAGAAATTAGTGGCGTTTATATATACCACTCACATGGTAAAAATTCAGTCAGTACGTCTATTAGCCGTATTAATCGTCGTACGAAAATTGATATTAATCGTCAACCAGTGGATGACATTTTGCATATCTGAAGATAATTTCATAAGATGCAATCCTTATTTATCACGCGATTTTACTATACCTCAAATCAAACATATATGTCTTTTTTGTATTTTGATTTCAGTTGCTATTAAAGCCGTTTGCCAACCAGCAGTACAGTACCCAAATGTCTGGGTCAAAGATCAATGTGTTACCTTGACGATGAACTGTGTTGACCCCACCTTGCCAGGGCAGACATCACATCTAACCTACACAGAGAGTGGAAACTATACAAATGGCTTCACACAGGTCCAGTCACCTAAGGGACAGTATCAGCTATGTTACAACCTTGTCCAGAGTGGCAGCTTTGGGGTAGGTCGTCCTGTGGTACACTGACTTACAAGGCTAGTCTAATCAAAGGTTTACTGTACATGCTGTATAGGTACTTTACCATCAATAGAAGAAACGGTACGTTTGTAGATCCAAATTTAGATACTAAATGTCCAAAAGAATAAATAACAATCCTCGGGAAAACAATGTGACTTTTTATGTGGAAATATACGGTTTACATATTCTGCAGAAAAAGATAGAGCAGGGCACTTATTGAAGGAGGGGAGTCTTACTATGGTAAATACCATAATTATCTCATAAAACGTTTCAGTAATAAAAAATATAAGTTCATCCACATAGTTTTGGGGGGGAACAAAATTCAAACTATGTCAAGAATAGTCGAAACATGAATTAATGGGTTATGAATTATTCAGTTCTGAGTATAAACTTCTAGAAAATTAGTTTTATTTTCTTGATGTAGATTGCTGTGACATTCCTCATATTGGAGCACATTTAATTTCATATAGTATATTATGTTTTCTATACTTATTCCCAAGAATATTAATTGTGTTCTCTCCTCCATATAAGTGACTCTTTTAGATGATTGTTTAATTCATTATGTGAACAATTTTAATACACAAACTATTTAATCAAGTTTACAAAAAAAAATTTTTCAAGAATTCTGTACATGACATCATCAAAAAATCTCAGACACTGGTTGAATAACTAAATGCTTATTCTTAAGTAATAGTGTCCGTCGTTAAAAATAATTCTGGGCATTGTAATTAACTTTTAATGCTTTTGGATGATAAAAATGCTCATACCGCTCATCCACTTCTCTTATTTTGCAATAATTGGCAGTTTTAACTTATGTAATGTACTAAAGCCATTACTTCCTTCTCGTGATGGCAGTACAATATGTGGTCAAAACGTGTTGCATCATTGGATATAAGGTCACCATCATTCAGTGTTTGATTATAATATTTCAAATACAAAAAAAATCTGACATCAGAGTAATTAGATGATGTTTTTTTTTCCTTTTCAGTTGACATTGTCAGTGTTTAATGGTTTGGCCTACTACATGTACCACCAACCATTGGATGTGAAGTACGAACAATCCAACCCAGTCTTTGACCAATCCACTTACTATGTTAGCGTCCCAGAAACCTTGACAGCTGGACTTCCCGTTACTACAGTAACCGCCACTACTGTCTCACTCAGGGGTTCCATAGTGTATTCTATTACAGGTTTGTGTCATCCGATCATACGTTTTAAATTCTTGTTCAAGCATTGATCCTTTTGTTTGATAAAGTATTCGTTAGCACAATTAGTTTTGTTTTGATAAATGATATGCATATTCCTGTTTCCAAAGGATTTCAGTTCAGAAGATTATGGAAATGAGGAGAATGTTAATATTAAACCAGAACCTAGACATAATCTGGCACTTACCTGTATAAACCAAACCAGTACATTAAAAGTCACACTAGATCCATTTCTATGTAAATTGAACCTTTGTAAATAAACAAATCCATCTAACCCAAACAATACTTTCAGTGCGGTGGTATTAGTACATGTAGTTTGTTCGTGTGTACCGCAATATCATTTTGGTCCATGACATTTTTACCTGTTGGCCTGCAAATGCAAATTTACCGATGATTGTTTCATACTAACATTTCTTTTAAATTTTCAAAATTATATGCCTCAGTTTTTGCCGCCATATTTGAAATTGCTATCCCGTTATTAGGTGATAGGGTGATATAAATTAAACAGGTGCAATAATTTCCTAATTTCGAGTACCATATATTTGGAAACTTTGGCCCAGTCATATGTTCACCCTTAATCACCAGCAAAATCCATTGTAACCCAGTGTTACATTTGCCCTGCATATGCAATTTGGTATTCAGTGTTTTAGCTGAATTCACCTTCATTACAAAGTATGGAGGTTAAATGGGACAAACATTCCCCTGTATACAGTAATATTGCTTGCTGAGAAAAGTTTAAACATATAAACATTATGGTAAGGAACCATTGTCTATTTTATAAGGGAAAAGATTTCTGAGTTTAACGTTTGTCGCAGTTAGCTAACAGTTTACATATAAAGAGATTCAAATTGCAATATCCTTCTGCTTTCAATAGAATACTTGAACACCTGGTAATCTTACTTAAATAATCCTGGATCCTCTCAAGGTTCAGTTCAGCAGGTTTTATTCTACCCTAAAGCACTATTTTGTGTTTTTATTCAGGTGGGTCCTGGGCGAATGTGACCAGTATCTTCCTTCTCGATGCTTCGACTGGCGCCATCTCCTCCCTTGTGGGAATGCGGGGTTACACAGCACAGACCATCACTTTGGACGTACAGGTCAGTCTCCAGCTCAAACAGATACCAATCAAAAACAGACTTTTGATTGTACCAACAGGACTATGGCAAATCAGGTTTGCTTTGTTGATTTACAAAAAGTCATCCCCCCCCCAAACTCAAACTCTCATGGGCTCTGGATCAATAGTTCTAGGAATACTGGGTATTCAACAAATGAAAGGTTAATCAATCACGTTTTGGTAAGTGGAACAGCTCAAGCAATGCTAGTGTCTCGGATAGTAGGTGATAGAAAGGAAAAAAAGATATATCATTTAATTAGTTAAAAAAACGGCTAAACATTGAAAGCAAAGCCATCTGCATTTTCAATAGAAATAAACAAAGAAACTATATGTAACATACACATAGTTTAGGCCTATACCCTATACATGTGTTATGTTCCTGAATTTGTATCATAAAAGATGGAAAGGAAATGTAGGGCTCTCTAAATATTAACTTATTTTTTCTATTCCGTCATTATATTTGATAAACAAATTTTCATAGAATCCAAATTCAAAAGTTGCACAATGAATTTACCTATAAGAACTTTTCGTCTGTAGGCGTTGAATGACTTCTCCTTGTTGCGGTCGACTGTGAAGGTTGAGGTTTCAATATCTGACATCAACGAGGTACCAAGCTGTATGTATCGGGACGGTGTCGTGGGAAACAGTGTGTTGGTGGGTGTAGATGATCCAGTGGGAACATCTGTGTTAAAAATACAGTGTATAGACCTTGACATCATACCAGAAAACAGGCAGCTCTCGGCAGTGCTCAGCTTCACCCCTTCAGGTAAGCTCTCAGTAGTGCTCAGCTACACTTCCTCAGGTAAGCTCTCGGCAGTGCTCAGCTACTCTCCCTCAGGTAAGCTGTCGACAGTGCTCAGCTACTCTCCCTCAGGTAAGCTCTCGGTAGTGCTCAGCTACTCTCCCTCAGGTAAGCTCTCAGCAGTGCTCAGCTACTCTCCCTCAGGTAAGCTCTCAGTAGTGCTCAGCTACACTTCCTCAGGTAAGCTCTCGGCAGTGCTCAGCTACTCTCCATCAGGTAAGCTCTCAGCAGTGCTCAGCTACTCTCCCTCAGGTAAGCTCTCAGCAGTGCTCAGCTACACTCCCTCAGGTAAGCTCTCGGCAGTGCTCAGTTTACTCTTCCTCAGGTAAGCTCTTGGCAGTGCTCAGCTACACTCCCTCAGGCAAGTTTCTTGATGTGCTCAGCTACACTCCCTCAGGTAAGCTCTCGGCAGTGCTCAGTTTCCTCTTCCTCAGGTAAGCTCTTGGCAGTGCTCAGCTACACTCCCTCAGGCAAGTTTCTTGATGTGCTCAGCTACACTCCCTCAGGTAAGCTCTCGGCAGTGCTCAGCTACACTTCCTCAGGCAAGTTCCTTGCAGTGCTCAGCTACACTCCCTCAGGTGAGCTCTTGGCAGTGCTCAGCTACTCTCCCTCAGGCAAGTTCCTTGCAGTGCTCAGCTACACTCCCTCAGGTAAGCTCTCAACAGTGCTCAGCTACTCTCCCTCAGGCAAGTTCCTTGCAGTGCTCAGCTACACTCCCTCAGGTAAGCTCTCGGCAGTGCTCAGCTACACTCCCTCAGGCAACCTCTTGGCAGTGCTCAGCTACACTCCCTCAGGTGAGCTCTTGGCATTGCTCAGCTACACTCCCTCAGGTAACCTCTTGGCAGTGCTCAGCTACACTCCATCAGGTAAGCTCTCGGCAGTCGTCAGCTACACTTGCATGGTAGCTAGGTTCTCAACATGACTCTTGTTGATGGGTAGGAGGGATAGGTTTGGTGGTAACTTAGTAGAATAAAAAAAACATTATTTAAAATAGACCATGATATTAAATAAATCATGATTTTAAAGAAAAGATAGGTCAGATCATAAGTCATATGAAATAAACTAAATTTCATTAAATTTATAGAATGAACTAAACATTGATGAAAACAGGATATCAAACAGAATGTGACAAAATCTTGTTGAATCCACTAACTGTATTCATGACTTCACTATTGAAAATTGCAGACCTTAACCTTATTTCCCTCTTTTTAGCAAAATGAAATCAAAATGATATTTTTCTCCAGTATTTGCCAAATGGATAAGGAGATTGATTCAAGTTTAATGCAGAAATAGAAGAATAAGAATACTTTTCCCTTGCAATGCATATTTCCAGTATCCGATGTGTTCATGCTTGAGGAGCAAGGCGGGGAGTATACCATCAAGACCAAGACACTACTGCCAGTCCAGACTGTTACCTATGACGTCACTTTGGTCATCTCGGACGCCGCCACACCACCGCTATCTGTCCAGATCTTAAGGCGGGTCGTGATTAACTGTAAGTGCCATGATTGCAGTGGTGATGTTTCTTTCTCGTGCAAGCTTAGTTTCTGTTCCTTTGTTCCGAGTCGTTAGGACTACCATTCAATAATGTCTGTTAGTATTATTTACCGTTATTTTACAAGAATGATTAAACAAGTTATTTCAATTGATATTAATCATTCTTGTTTGCCCGAATTTGCAGGAAGGGGGGGGGGATCTTCATTTGGTAGTAAACTAGTGTACCTAGAGAAACCCATGTGGTCGGACAAATGACCCCATGCCTTTTGACCATTAATGCCACCTGACCACACTTACCTTTTAATTGTAAGCTTGACAAAACATTATGTAAAAGATAAAATATTGATGAAGTTCAAAAGAGCTGTCAATTAAGAAGAAAAATTTTAACACTATAATTCATTTTCATGAATGGTGTATGTTCTCACGCAAACCATTCTCACATTTGTTGTTGTTACAGTGCTGCCCCCAGCTCCTGTGTTCCATGCCTTCCCCTTCAACAGCACAGTGATTCAGGTGGAGTGGCAGTATGTACGAGCTGACTACTACAGTGTCACAACTAGCTTCGTCCTCACAGCGGTGTCCAGTTCTGACCGACACTCATTTGTAACCCAACCTGATCCAGGAGTCACCCAGAGCCTCATCACCAAGCTGGTCCCCGAGACTGAGTACAGAGTGGAGCTGACAAGTGTCACAAGTTATGGAAATGTTTCTGCTCCGTCCATCACCGTGGTAATGCCAGGTATGGTTGATTACGCACTGTACCCTCAAAAGTGAAACTTCTAGTGGAAATGTAACGAACACATTTTTTAAACATAAAGCAGGCCAATTTTACCTGTAATAGGTTTGAACCCTTGTGATAATAATTATCCAAAATATTAATATGTATCCCTCCTGATCCCATCCTTCACAGCTGTTCCGATCCTGTCAAGTTTTATGATGTCACTGCGGTTGCCAGGACAACAGTTCATTCAGACCCTGCTTGATGACAACTCGTATGATTTTGTTACTTTAAAGAGATCTGTGGACGAAAATGTGAGTTTGTCCTGTTTTATGTAGTGGGAGGAAGGGTAATTAATGATCTCAGATTAATTTCTTCTAATTAAAACTGCAAACACGACCAATAATAATATTGCAGAACGAATTGGTTTTCATGGACTTTAGAACAGTTTTTACAATGAAAATGTTTATAAAAATGATAAAAATGAAATAAAAAAGTTTGTTGAAGAAATTATTTTGAATTCCTGACCAAGAATATATAATAATAATTGAGATATGCACCTGATTAAAAGTAAGATTGTCCAGACATAATTCTGTTTTGTTATTATTTGTTTCTAGTTGGATTGTATTATGAAGAGGGTCGCTGGTTACCTGTCTGTGGGCGTGGTCTCGTTCAGGTAAGTTAAATTAAGATTTATCTTCAGTACAATGTACTATATACTTCAGTGTTAATTTTGCTTTGATAGGTCTTGTTTAAACTACTTATTCTTTTTGGTAAATCTTGTGTAAACTACCTATTCTTTGATAGGTCTTGTGTAAACTACCTATTCTTTTTGGTAAATCTTGTGGTAACTACTTATAATTATTCTTTGATAGATCTTGTGTTAACTACTTATTCTTTGATAGCTCTTGTTTAAACTACTTTTGGCAGATCTTGTGTAAACTACCTATTCTCTTTGGCAGATCTTGTGTAAACTACCTATTCTCTTTGGTAGATCTTGTGTTAACTACTTATTCTTTGATAGATCTTGTGTAAACTACCTATTCTTTTTGGTAGATCTTGTGTTAACTACCTATTCTTTGATAGATCTTGTGTTAACTACCTATTCTCTTTGGTAGATCTTGTGTTAACTACTTATTCTTTGATAGATCTTGTGTTAACTACCTGTTCTCTTTGATAGATCTTGTGTTAACTACCTATTCTCTTCGGTAGATCTTGTGTTAACTACTTATTCTTTGATAGATCTTGTGTTAACTACCTGTTCTCTTTGATAGATCTTGTGTAAACTTCTTATTCTTTGATAAATCTTGTGTTAACTACCTATTCTCTTTGGTAGATCTTGTGTAAACTACCTGTTCTCTTTGGTAGATCTTGTGTTAACTACTTATTCTTTGATAGATCTTGTGTTAACTACCTGTTCTCTTTGGTAGATCTTGTGTTAACTACTTATTCTTTGATAGATCTTGTGTTAACTACCTATTCTTTTTGGTAGATCTTGTGTTAACTACCTATTCTTTGATAGATCTTGTTTAAACTACTTATTCTTTTTGGCAGATCTTGTGTAAACTACCTATTCTTTTTGGCAGATCTTGTGTAAACTACCTATTCTCTTTGGTAGATCTTGTGTTAACTACTTATTCTTTGATAGATCTTGTGTTAACTACCTATTCTTTTTCGGTAGATCTTGTGTTAACTTCTTATTCTTTGATAAATCTTGTGTAAACTACCTGTTCTCTTTGGTAGATCTTGTGTTAACTACTTATTTTTTGATAGATCTTGTGTTAACTACCTATTCTTTTTGGTAGATCTTGTGTTATCTACTTATTCTTTGATAGATCTTGTGTTAACTACCTGTTCTCTTTGGTAGATCTTTTGTTAACTGCCTATTCTTTGATAGATCTTGTGTTAACTACCTGTTCTCTTTGGCAGATCTTGTGTAAACTACCTATTCTCTTTGGTAGATCTTGTGTTAACTACTTATTCTTTGATAGATCTTGTGTTAACTACTTAATATTGTAATATCTATTTTTCCAGTTATGCTAGCTCTCTTATATAGTAATGACAAATGTACTAGGGATGCACAAGAGTGGAGGGACTTATAATTGATAGTATATGGGTCGGAAGTCTAAAATAAATTGTTTATAGTTGTATACAGCAAATATTTAGTGCAGGGCTCTTTCTGTATATTCCCTTTTTGAATATGCACTTATTTCTTTGTTGTGACATAATTACTTCTATATGCAATTTTGCCTATTGTAGGGAGGGAAGTGTGATTGTGGATGCCCTAGTGACACTGAACCAGTCGGGCACTGTTGAGAGTGTGTCAAGTAGCTTCCAGTCACAGATGCAGACAGGCTGGGTTGGCAACATGTCGGTTGATCCTCAGTATTTTGTCGTAAACTCTGGAGGTAATATAAATACAAATTCAGATGAGTTTAATGAGAGTTATGATAGAAATAATAAAAAAAAATCCTTCTTACACGGCTATTTGAAAACAATCATCAATTTCAATTAAGATTGCAATTGGAAGAGCCTAGCTTAACTTGAAACTATATTCCATCTTTCACAAATTTTATTTGGAATTGAAACATGTTCGCTATATTTTTTACAGTTCGTTTCAAACCACATTTACAAAAAATGAAAAGATAAAGCTCTGTCTAATGTTGAGTAATCGAGTGTCGACAACTAGACATGGTGTTTGTAATTTGTCCAATACGATGTCACATTATTAAATGAAGTTTGTATGATGTCCTATGCATTGTTGCCATTCTGACCCGGCCATTAACGTTATTACATGAGGTAATACACAACAACAAGTCCTGGTTTAGTCACTGAATATCATTGTGTTCAATTGATAAAATCATTATAATCACACTACTCTATTGACATCAGCTATATAGTGTCACAGTCGTGAAACACCTTGTTGCGTCATTGATGACTAGGCTAGAGATATGACTCAATAACTATAAGTGTTGATTATTGATATAAAATATTGAAGAAAAATAATGCCCTTTACTTCAATGTCCCATTATTTATCACTAAGTCATTTTTCTGCTGTTGAAAGCAAAATTCCACCAGAGAGGATATAAGTCTGATACATACATGTATTATACATAAGGCTTTATGTTTTTCTCCAAACTCTATGATATGTTACCTGGTATGTTTTACATACCGGTATGAAAAGGTAATTTTCTCTCATATCTAGAATTAATAAGGGAAGAAAACTGATATTGAATTGTCAGCAAATTTTGACAAAAATACAATTTCCTTCAATCTTCCAGTGTTTGACACACCATTATTTGATTGTAAATCTTATTGTTATTCAGCAATGCCATACTAAATGCTATAACAGTTTTGTCTTACATCCCTATAAAAGATGATTGCTTCCTTTACTATGTTACCCCCATCTATTTCGAACTTGCACACAGATGAATAAGAAATATTTGTATTTCAAAACGACCATTTGATCATTTTCTTATCACAGAATAACTCACCAGTATTTTTGATTTCAATTAAAAGTGAACTGTAACAAGGCAGTGTGACTTGATTTTATTCAAAATGATATGATCTACAATTTATTTTTTTTAACAGCCAATAAGTGTTTCTATACATGTGATGTTTCAATGACTAGTATGGTTTGTACTCTGTCACCTTCATCAGAAAAATGAACAGTGAAGCGTATGCACACAAAGGTGTTAAATGTGTACGAGTTGTCCACAAAATTGATGTTGATTCGGCTACGCTGTAAGTGTATGTAGAAACATAGAAAAAGAAATAGACATAGAAACACTTTTTGGTTGTGTGACAAGAACTTTTCAGAAAACATTTTTCTTCCCCATGCTGGGATTTTAATGATAAAGAGTACGTTGGAAATATATTCTTCCTCCATTGAGGTGTTTGTTGATATTTCATCTAATTGTTCCTCTCTCTGCTGACTTCCCACAGACGGTTACATCAGGATTACCCAGTTGTCGTTAAACACAACAGACATCTATAACAACATGGACGTGGCTTTTATCTGCTCTGCGGACGTCATAGGGACTGTAGGCGCTGTCCAAAGTCGCTGGACGTTCAACGGGTCGGTCATCAGACCTAACACTTCTCCAAGATGGCACATCTCAGAAGAACCAACAAACCCAAACAAACCCACACAGAAGATTTATAAAATGATCATCAGCCCTATTGCCACACATGACACGGGTATGCATTTACAGCAGGGGAAATATTTTTTTCAAGCAGAATGAAGAAAATCGTTGTTGGCTTTGCCATAATTGATGGAAGGGAGATAACTGTAATGATTCATGTTTGAAAATTACTCAAAAACTTGCTGTTATAACTGCTAATTTGTCAGGTATGTTTATTGATATGCCTGGATGTTCACAATTTCCAGGAGAAAAAAAATGGTGAACACACCTGAATATAAAACAATATTTTCTTAAGTAATTAATTACTATCATCATTTTAATGATGAAGACAATCTTAAATGTCTTCATATAGGTCATGTTAAACTGTGATACACAAAAGAGGTTTGAAATGTATTGTGAAACTGTTAGATTGTTGGTCCAGTGGTGCTTTATGCCAATTAAGCACCTTTTATGGATTCTACATAATCCACTTCCTTCAGACCCTCAAACCTACCCCACCCAACTTATAGAGAGAAAAAAATCACTCACAATATTATGCAGGTTTTAGTGTCAGAAACAAGCAAAAACACATTCTAATGTAAATTATATTGTTATTAGTTAAAATGTTATATTAACAGCTGTCGAAATATATCCCTGATTACAATATGCTGTTGTATATTTCTATGGTACAAATTTCTACCAATATATTGCCATACAACCTATAGTTTTATACCAACATATATTTGTAGGAAAGTATGAATGTCAAGTGTATGATGACACTGGCCTGACCAGTCAGACGTCACAGATGGTGGAGGTCATACCCCAGCCTCTGCTGACCATTTATCCTCGGACCCGGACAGTGGTCAGCGGTCAGTCTATGAACGTCACCTGTCAGATCCTCCAACCCCACAATTACCACGCCTTCTTCACTTGGTACAAGGACGGTTCTCGTATCACCAGATCTCCAGGTAGCATGAGTTTGCAATATACACATGTTTGACGTGATATTTATGTACCTGTTTCTTACAATGTATACATCACACCACATGGTTTGGCTGTGTTTTTAACTCACCATATTGTTCACATCAAGGACTTTTCAAGGCAGTGTTATATTTTTTGGTGTTACCATAAATCCGTAAATTTATCACAAGTGAATACTGAATACACTATTAACTTTGCAAAGTTGTATTTTTCTCATTTAAACATGAAGATATCTGTACAGTACGAAAGCTGTATACAATATTTTGGCCCCTTAAATCAATACTTGTATACCTTATCCTTGACCACCTCTTTCCTACCTTATCCCTGACGATTTACCTGTTACAGGTGTAGAGTTCCTGCTCCTGTCTCCCTACATGGAAATGTTAGTGATCAGACAGGTCACCACGGACGCCCAGTACTCCTGTGAGGCTACCAATGTGGCCGGGACTGGACCAAGACTCTCCATGAAGCTGACTATCAGGAGTGCGAATGGTACGTACTGATAAATAAATGTTGACAATTTTTCACGAAGGTATTTTCTGTCCACAAGGAATTACCGACATATAGTTTTTTGCTCAAATTCTTTTAAATCGTTTTATAGAATAGCTTAAACAATGCATTTTAGGCTGGGTTTTTTGTTGTGAATTATTTTTCTTACATGCAGTTGTTCCACAATGGTAAATTTGAAAGGTTGGAATTTGAGTGAAAAAAACATGTTTTTAATATATTTTTTTGTAATAGAATCGTTATATAACATATATTTTGTAAAAGATGATGTGTGTTGTTGTTTGGTAGGGATTGTGTGTCCCTCGGAAACAGATTCACAGGGAACAATGTGGACAGAGACGATTGCCGGAGGACAGGAAATACTAGAATGCCCTGCAGAATTAGAGGGTAAGTGTAACTATTTTATTTCTCAGAGATTACTTGCATACATTTGCAGAACTACTGGTTGTCCTTTCATCACACCAGGTATTCCGATACATTGTACCGCGACAGGCACAAATAACACAGAATCAAAGCGTGGTGAAGGTGTGAATGGAAGTTTTTGAAAATTTAGTTAGAGCTATTGCTGGTATTTCAGTTTATTTGATTACTACTTTCAAGATGGCTCATTAGTTTAAATATCTGTGGAATTTAGAGATGAAACGCCTTTGTTTAAGGTGTTTTACTCTCTTGAGCTATTTTACCTAGTTAATAATGATTGGTGACATCTACTGAAGACTTGTAAGTATTACTGAAGCAAATGACTGTACAATTCGCACAAATGCTGTTTTTTAAGCAAAGGTTGGTCACAGGTGCCACTGTAACAGGAGACGAAATATGCATGTCCAGACTGGTATACAAACCCAGCACCCTTTGAACTCAAACTCTATCAACTGAGCTACCGGGTCACAAGCATATATAACCCAGTCCAGTTACATCTACACCTGATTAAATATTCATGTTCAGGTTCAAAGGTTCCATTCGACCATTTTCAAGGGTGTATCTCTGTGAGCACCTGCTCACTTTGTTTTGGCTATGATGCAGCATGGGTAACATTTCTTTTGACAGGCACAGTGAAGCGTGAATGTTCATCCAAAGGTGCATGGTCATCGCCCGACTACAGTGGGTGTGTTAGGACTGATATCTCCGAACTTCAGGTTCAGGTAAAAACACAATCAATGTTAGAAAATACTGTTAATGATGCAAACAAATCGAAAATCTATTTAAATGCTTAACTTTCATCAAAATCTCAAAGAACAATGAATATCTCCACAATTTTTAAGAGCTTACATGTAGTGTTGAAACATTCTTTCGATAAACACCTAACAATGTATAATGAACTGTTATATAAATATCAAATTATCAAAAATAAGCAAGGTTTATTGTATTAGAAGAAGCAGATGAGCAATTAACTTCAGACGGTCTGCTTATAAAGACCAATGGTAGCTAGTTGAGAGTTCTCATTAAGGCTTTTAGTTCAGTGTGAGCTAAAATCAGTGGTAATACATTTTTGTTGTAGACTGACAAGATGAAGGAGGGTGTTGAGATTACCTCCCCTGAAAACTCTCTCGTGGTACTGTCTGATATCACCAGTCAGGGCCATTCACTCAACAGCGGGGACATGGACGCATGCCTGAACATCTTGAGTAACGTCGTCACTGTTAGTGACCGTGACAACAATTTTATCACCGGCAACGCTATAGAGGTATACATCTGACGGTTGCTCTTATATTATTTTGCATTATTTTGTTATTTTGTGCAAGTAAGTTTTTTTTTATTCAAAATATAATATTTATAAACATTTTACGATGGACAAGTAACATACACATTAGATTGATAAAGTACACCCCTAAAATTCACAGCAGCTATAAAACACCACTCAGAGCTATAACATACGACACTCAGAGCTATGATATACGACACTCAGAGCTATGATATACGACTCTCAGAGCTATAACATACGACACTCAGAGCTTTAACATACGACACTCAAAGCTATAATAAACCACAATCAGAGCTTTAATATACGACACTCAGAGCTATAATAAACCACAATCAGAGCTTTAATATACCACACTCAGAGCTATAATATACGACACTCAGAGCTATGATATACCACACTCAGAGCTATAATATACCACAATCAGAACTATAATAAACCACAATCAGAGCTTTAATATACCACAATCAGATCTATAGATTACCACACTCATAGCTATCATCTACCACAATCAGAGCTATAATATACCACACTCAGATCTATAATCTACCACAATCAGAGCTATAATATACCACACTCAGAACTATAATATATCACCCTTCAGAGCTATCATCTACCACACTCATAGCTATAATATACCACTACATGCAGTGATAATACTCCAGTAATTCTGAATTATTACATTTTCTTATCAAAATCTTTTCAAGAAAAAAAACTATAACACAAATCAGATGTATATTTAAACATGAGATAGAATTAATCCCCACACACTTATGTATTTATATGTGTATGCAGACTAAAAAAACACAAGGCAAATATAGTTGATCATCACTAACATTTTCAAGCTTAACTGCCTGAAGAAGGCGGCAAGGCTGGGAAGCGTTATCAACGACCAACTATATTTCCTGAGTCTGCATAGAGATCTTTAACTGGTACACAAAGTCTTCACAAGATTGAACTGTTTTTATGTATATATGCCACTTGCAAATTAACTCGTTAAAAATATTACTTCAAATTGATTATGAGGGGAAAGTAAATGTTAAAAAGTTCTCAATAAGTAACCTTTTAGCCTTCAAGGAACCTGAAGGTGTCTTCAATAAGATTCATCACTTTGCAGACATGTTATTTTTAAAGTTTTTCTTTATACACAAACAATACGTACATTGATGGTGTATAAAGTAAAAGTGTTAAGGTAGTTATAAAAAAAACACTTTTTGACTGTGATACAAGTTGATAAATGATGTTTATTTCGAATTCTCCAGGCCTTTGCTAACTCAACTAACAATCTTCTGGATGATGTCAACAAGCCAGCTTGGGAGTTACAGAAGCAGCGGGTCAGTACAATCTTATAAAAACTCCATACAAACTTCTGTGAATTATTATGAAATGCTAAATGTAGCTGCTGGGATCAGTGTAATAATATTTACAGTGTTAAAATATTTACATTTACTCCATAGGAAATTATTTTTAATTTCAATTGTTCTCTCATTGCTGGTAATCTTTATGGTTTCTTTCATTGTTCTATAGAGAGGGAAGGGTGTGTCTGGACTAATGCAAGTTGCCACAGAGTTTGGTAAAGTGGGAACCAAGATGGGGGACACAACCCAGACCTTCAACCAACAAGTGTCTAGACCTAATCTAGGTAAGGAGACGGTAACTGGCAGGAGTCAGGATCTTTTCTGGTGGGTAGAGGGTGACCAACAGGTTCCAGACTTAATCTTGGCAGTAAGATGGCACAGTGGTTAGTGCACTCTCATTTCTCCAAGAAAGCCTGGTTTTTATTCCCTGTGATTGGTCATGAAATTGTGTGGGGCTACCTACCTTAACATGCAGTTATTTCCAAGTGATCAGGTTTCCTGAGCTCCCATATCAAGACCCCCTGCACACTTTATTCTTATGCCTTTGAAAATAAGGTGCTTGCTATATATGCGATGGTGGGTTTTTTTGTTAATTGGAATATTATATATCATATTTTCATGTGTACTTTATTGTGCAAAGTATGCCTGTAGGTTTTATCAAGAACACCAGAATTTTGTGATTGAGAGAATGCTATTTCAATACTGAGAGCAATATTTGGAAAAAACATTGATATTATTTTTTGTAAAATACATAAATTCATAAGCATTTCTCATTGCGAATTACTATGAAAATTAATACCTTGTGAAAACAAGTTTTTTACAATAAACAATCTTTGATGTGAATATTGCTGTATTTTCTCTGTGTTTTTCAGTGATGAATGTTGGTAGGACGGAACCCCAGGACATCGTGTTCCCTAACAGGAACTCCCTCACACTGCCCGACTGGATCAAAACATCCACCACCAAAGGGGTCATCAAGAAGGACGCAATCTCTGCCAACCTTGGGGCTTGTAAGTACAACCCGTAACATTATAAACAGCTCTTCTCACTGTTAACTTATTTTATAATGAACTTTTCCAACCTTTAAATTTGAAGAGTTCAAATGTGTCTTCAGGGGTGAATGAGTTAATGCAAAATAAAAACGAGATCTGAATGCTTTTATTTCTCACAACTGGAAACTTGTACAGCAGTTTTATGTTTATGTCACGAAAAGTATGCAATATGAAATTGTCTTTTTATCGCCAAAAAATATGTCCCACCATCCTGTGATATTAGAGGAGCTGCAGTTTATACTACGAAGACCAGAGCAGACAGGGATTTTGCTTTTCTGTCCTTTCATCCATCTGTATGCTTCTTTGGTTTCTGCACAAATTGTAATTTAATTTTGCAACACTCAACAACGTTGATTGTAGATAGAACAACAAGACACTGGCAAAAACATAGTGATCAATAGTGCTTTAGAGGTCAAAGTTGAAAGTGACCTTTAAATAATTCCATAAGTACATGGCTCTTAGATATTTCATAGGTACAAACGTATTTAAATGAAGGTCAAGGTCATTATAACTGGTACAGATAATTCCAAAACTGTTATTGTGGCTAATTTTTGTGCTGGTCTTTCGGTCGTACTTACAAAATCTACATTGAGTTTGCTTGGCCTTGCAATATTCAAACTTCACATATAGAGGCTGCTAATTAATTGAGGGGGATTTGAGATAGTATTTTAGGTAAATAAGAAGTTGTTAATTATTAAGGTCACAGTTACTAAAATTAGAGATAAAATGTCACTACAGGTGTACATTTCCATTGACTATCAAATTTATACATGAGTATTAAGTAAATGGGGATGCATCGGATAACATTTGAGGGCAGAAGTTTAGAAACTCAGAGGTAAAGGTCTTGTTTCTATCAATGGATTTTTTTGTTATTTATACACCAGTTACAATTTGACAATCAGAAGAATATCCTGTGATTGTTTCAAAATAATTGTACCCTACAATGCATATAACTTGAATGTTTTACTTTAAATTTAAATATAACCTATTTTTCATTTAACAATGGATTCGTTTCTGAATTGCAGCCCAGAAAGTTGGTTATAGTGGAATCTACTATAGAAACATCTCCAATCTGATGCACACCTACCTGCTTCTGGACAGGTAAGTCACACATATATACCTGCTCATACATATATTTGACAGATAATCCTCCCTCATTTCACTGATGTCAGAGGAACTATAAACAATGACATCACAATCAGCTTTTGGCAGGAGAAGTCAATGGCAAATAAGTTCCTGTAACCAGTGTTTTCAAAAAGTCTGATACAATGGGAGATAAAGAACCTCTCCCCCCGTTTTCTCTATCAGAGATTTTTCTCTGTCATACCCTCGCTGTAGGATGATATTCTATTAGTGACACTAATCTGTTCATTGTTACATATTAACTCTTTCACCCCTATGCAACTTTAGTAGACTCTCCCATGAATTGATCTGGATGGGTCCATTATGGCCTACAGTGGTGAAAGAGTTAAGTTATTCTTCTTCAGCAATGGAAGTCACAGGCCTATCTCTTCACTTTCGTATTATAAATATTTCTTTGAAAGCATTTGTTTACAATTGTCTCCGTATCAATGTTGTGTTTTCAGTGATGTTGAGGACGCAGATGACAGGTACGATATAAATTCTGATGTCATGGACATCGCCATAGTCCCAGTCATGTCCGGAGTCAACTCTTTGGTGGAACTCACATTCCAGCACTCCTTGGTGAGTAGGTCCACCTTTCTATTTCTTACCTTCTACGTATTTTACAATCTTAGTTCTGGGGTTAAAAATAAACAAACAAAAATTGAAGTTTTTTTTTATTTGTGAGTAACTCATTATCAATGATGTATGCTAGCAATTCAATAGAGGGCTGTAGTAATGCCATGATATTCATAAAGAATGAAAATATATCAATGTTTTTATATGTTGCTTGATTGAGCAGAACTTATTGACTCTGGGCTATTTGTCGTAACACTTGCTCCCTGTTTGAATAAGGGGATATTGTTTGTTCAAAAAAAATGAAAATTTTAGTGAGAAGAAAAACAAGTGAATTACAATATTTATGTTTTAGTTTGTTTTTTCAATGTTAGTATCAGTTCACAAAAAAAAACAATTTTAAAATTAACAATTTGTGTATTTACATGTATTTACTAAGTTATCATCATTGTCAATGCATGTATGCAGATATACTTGAGTGAATCTTGCTTCGTGGTTTCAGACAAACTATTCCTCCCCATCGTGTGTGTTTTGGGACTTCTCAGTACCGTAAGTACTCTCTTTTTCTAAGTTTCTTGTACTTAGGACAAACATTTTGTATCTCCATAGGCTAATAACAATACCTGGTAACACAATTACCCACTACTTGTATAAGACTAGAGATTTAGGATGAGGTATAGAGGTTCCATTACGTTCTATTTATTAAATGATGTCATTGTCAGCTAATCATTTTCTGAGTTGATGCCAGTATTGACCTCAGGTTGAGAAAACAATGTAGCAGATAATTATAAGTTATTATAAGTGAAAATCTAATGAAGTCTTTTCAAGGTCCTTGGTGCCACTAATGTATGACCTCTGACCTGGCTCTGTCAGACCTTTGTAGTGCCCCAATCCTCTCCAGGGCAGGATTGAAGTCATGGAACTCGGTCTTTGACTGTTCCGAGTCCATGTAAGACCTGATGGCCCTGTGATGATCCCCTAAAGTCTCATAACAGATCCCAAGGAGGGTGTGCACTGTCCAGTTTGTGTGTCCTCCATTTAGGTCATCATACTTGACCACTATCAGGTGACGTAGTGCGGCATCACGTCCTCTGGTGTCTCCGAGTTCGTGGCAGCAGAGGAAGGACAGAAACACCACAAAGGGCAGTGGTGGAATGTTCACCCCTACAGGACTTTTTGACATCTCGGGGTTAAGGTGGGGAAGATACAGGTATTCGTTCTCAAAACAAAGTGACTTTGTGAAGGTTTTCCTCAGCTTGTGAATTAAAGTGAAACCCTTTCCGCAGTATTCTTGTATATACCTTGCTTTCTGTTCTGGTGGGAGCAGCATGTTAACGTTCCTTTGATATGAAGGTTGTGCCATTACTTGTCTACACAACTGCAATGATTTACTGTAGTTCCCGGACAGGAAGTGAAAATTTGCCAAGTAGCACAGTTCCGTGGCTACTGAGGAACACAGGGTTAATCTGTGTTTACATTTCCTCAGGGTCTGGTATCGAGCTTTGTTTCCAGTAGGTTCGGCAATGTGGTCAGGACTGGCCTCTCCCTGTGTGATCTGTGATAGCAAACTTGTCATATTACAGAAAGCGATAATTTCGTCAACCTCTGTGTCTGATTGCATTAACAAATACATTGTTCTCATCAGATGTCTGTGCAGGTTTAACCTACTGGTCTGGCATGTGGGGGCTTGTTTTACTCCTAGTCCCATATCCCGGTAATACTCCATTTCATTTTCAGTGTGTGTACACATAAGCTCAGCCTGTACTTTAGTATCACAAACACTTTCCAGTATAGTTGGTCGAAGGAATTTTTCATGTGAAAGGCATTGTAATTTTTCCCTATGGAAAACTGTTAGAATATCCAGCAGACTTTGTTGATTTTGTCCATGGATATTTTGTCGGAACAAGTTGTCAGATGGGATGAAATAATTTGGACATGTTCCTGTCTTGACCCAAGAGATCAGAATGTTTAGGCAAAACCAGAAACAGTAAAACAAGTTTTGTTCTTGCCACAGCATTGGATGAGAGTTTTCCACTGAGAAAAACATCAGCATTTTCAAAAGAGTTGAGCAGAAAATATCGCCAGGGAGTTCTCTTAGTAACTCTGTATTCTTCAACTGTGTTAAGAACTGTTTCAGTAAACAGTAAACCTTCAACTGGATGTGACTGAGGGAGTAAACCAAAGCTCTCTCGGCTGATGCCAGGGATATCCTCCACTGTAGTGGTTTGTCCTTGGAACAGTTAGCTCCTAGTGGCACGAGGTGACAGCCACGACAAACGATTTGGTCTATCAGTTTTTGAGGCGGCCATCCAAACACACGAGTACGTGTCACCCACTCATCAGCATCCCGAGGCCAGCTTTTACATGCAAAGCCGACCACCGTATTCATAGTAGCGTCCTTTGTCTGGTATGTGCTGCTCGGCCCATGAGATACACTTGGCTTAGCTGCAGATTGACTTTGTTGGTTGACGGCCTGTTCTCTGAAGATGTCACTGGAGACAAATGTATTTTCCCCAACATGACTAAGTGAATTAGCAAGCACAGAACTCTGCTCCTGTCCTGACTGACCTAGCTGTAAGGTCACGTAGCCAGGTTTGCAATCAGCTTCCCGAGCCTTGGTTATGTACAGCACAGACTTGTGTGTGCTATCTGAAGGAAAACTCTGTCCAGGGTACAAAACCAACACATCATTGTCAATGATCATGATGTCCGTATCAGAACCATACTCCAAGATTCCCTCTTGGAATATATTTCTGGTGTTTTCGCTACAGTTATATATAGATTCCTCCATCAGCATGACCCTTCTCAGATTGTCGGTCATCTCCTTTGTCCCGGTAAGATTCTTGTCAATAAATCTTGACAGGAGTATAGAAATCCCCTCCATGGCAGGTTCTGTCATAGCCTTCTCCTCATGATGTCTGCAATAAAAAGGATATGAAAGTCAAGTAAAAAAATACATATAGGGACAGTAAAGTAAAAAAAACATAATAAAATTCATTATATTTTGATATCTTTCAATTACATTTTCTGAGGTGATTTGCTTCCTAAAAGATAATAATTTGGTATGTAAAATTTTCAATATGAACATACTTGAATTACAGAGAAGTACAAGGACATAAACGGGGGAATCAAAATCAGTTCACGATATGTACATGTGTTCGTACTTGTTTTACTATGTTTTACTGTACATGTCTAAATAAAAATTAAAAATTCTGATGTGTACATAAGATTTACTTATCTAAATGTGGATGTCAACACATTTGTAAATGAATATTCAACTGTCTTTTAATGTTCTGTATAACTTGACTGGCACTAGCTGTTCTGTAAAACCTCACTTGCACTAGCTGTTCTGTAAAACCTGACTGGCACTATCTGTGAGCAGGATGGGTGTAAAACCTGACTGGCACTAGCTGTTCTGTAAAACCTCACTTGCACTAGCTGTTCTGTAAAACCTGACTGGCACTATCTGTGAGCAGGGTGGGTGTAGTACCTGACTGGCACTATCTGTGAGCAGGATGGGTGTACTACCTGACTGGCACTATCTGTGAGCTGGGACGGTCTCCAACCTGACTGGCACTATCTGTGAGCAGGGTGGGTGTAGTACCTGACTGGCACTATCTGTGAGCAGGATGGGTGTACTACCTGACTGGCATTAATTAGCTGTGTGCAGGGTGGGTGTAAAACCTGACTGGCACTATCTGTGAGGAGGGTGGGTGTACTACCTGACTGGCACTATCTGTGAGCGGGGACGGTGTAAAACCTGACTGGCACTATCTGTAAGCAGGGTGGGTGTACAACCTGACTGGCACTATCTGTGAGCAGGAACGGTGTAAAACCTGACTGGCACTATCTGTGAGGAGGGTGGGTGTACTACCTGACTGGCACTATCTGTGAGCAGGATGGGTGTACTACCTGACTGGCATTAATTAGCTGTGTGCAGGGTGGGTGTAAAACCTGACTGGCACTATCTGTGAGGAGGGTGGGTGTACTACCTGACTGGCACTATCTGTGAGCAGGGTGGGTGTAAAACCTGACTGGCACTATCTGTGAGGAGGGTGGGTGTACTACCTGACTGGCACTATCTGTGAGCGGGATGGGTGTAAAATCTGACTGGCACTATCTGTGAGCAGGATGGGTGTAAAACCTGACTGGCACTATATGTAAGCAGGGGGGGTGTACTACCTGACTGGCACTATCTGTGAGCTGGGACGGTGTAAAACCTGACTGGCACTATCTGTGAGCAGGGAGGGTGTACAACCTGACTGGCACTATATGTAAGCAGGGTGGGTGTAAAACCTGACTGGCACTATCTGTGAGCAGGGTGGGTGTACTACCTGACTGGCATTAATTAGCTGTGTGCAGGGTGGGTGTAAAACCTGACTGGCACTAGCTGTAAGCAGGCTAGGGTGGGCGATAGGGGCTTGACCATTAGATCTGATAGGAGAGTATGTTTTGGTTAAATCAGTGTAATAGTGTACTGAAATTAAACAAGGTAACAAGATTTACAGAAATATCAAATCCTTCACATATGTGTACCACGTAAGTTAGTTCACCATTAAGTTCCATTACGAAAATAAGGGCATCTGTGGCAGCATATGATATTGATTTCAAAAAAGTACTTATTTCTGAATAGGGATCACAATAGATAAATTTTCCAAAAGCAGTAATACAGATATATTTTTTAAACCTAATTTTTCTTGAATATTGCCTAAAGGTTTTAACCTAATTTGGTCTGGAGCATCCTGTTTTCAAGGGGCCTAATTGAGGAAATAAAGATAAACATTGTTTAAACAACATGGATAAAGGGGGTTTATTTCATTTGGTCTTGAGTACCCTACAAAATACAAGTATGGAATGTTTTCTATTTCTTTTAAAAAACATTTAATTCTGTTTTGAAGGCACCATTCTTTTCAATATTGGAAAGATCTTCCTTAATTTTTTTACGCCTGTCAAATTTTGAAAGGAGTATTATGGGGTCGTCCAGCGTAAACTTTTGTTTGTCTGGCAATCTCCTCCTACATTTTTCGTCCAGATTTTTGCAAAATTTATTGCCATTTGTTCATTTCAGTATTTGATTTTTTTGTCCGGAAATTTTCTCCTTCATTTTTTATAGCATGACAGCTAACCACTCTAAGAATGATGCAGATCTTATTTCAATGTAAGAAAGTATATAACACTATATGGCATTCGACGGGCGTATATTGTTCCGCCCCGCGGTACTCTTGTTGTGAATATAATATTACATGTTATGCTAAGTAGTAGTAGAACTGTCTAATTGTGATGAAGAACTGCTTGATGGAAGGTCATTTATAAAATTGTGCAACAGCAATGGAGATGAGGCTGATTTTGAATTTCTCTTGCAATCCTGTCTTTTTTATATAGATGCGAGGCAAAGTTGTACAATTAAATTTTGTCAAAAATACGATATTTCCTTCTTTTTAGGAATAATTTATGCCTTACTAAATAAAATACTCTGTAAAATAAAGATTAATAACACTAGTTTTATTTTCATTATTCATCTTTGTTAGGGAAGTCGTCAGTTAATTTAATTGAAGTAAGGAAGTTTGACATCAATGAGCTGATCTGACTCCTGCATCAGATCAACCGTTTTACAGCAAGCAGCCTGTACCTGAATGATTTGGGAAAATGCTGAAATATTTTCATAATAATAAGGAAATATCAATAATTCCAGATTTTGCCTTGGCCTTTTTTTGTTAGACTATTTCCATATACACATAAATGCCATTGACCAGTGCTAGGCAATAAGAGTATCCCACTACAGTCAAAGACTTTATAAGTGAAGTCTCCAAATGGACTATAGCTAGTGGCCGGTTCCAAAAATTGATGGCCCATTTGACTTGTCAAAATTTGATATTTCTTATCCTAGCCTGTTGAATAATGTTGGGTTAATAGAATTTGCACATAAACAAGTAAAATTGAAAACTACTTGCCCAAAAAATTAATTTGTAGCTCTATTCCACCTGATATGTATACCTTGTCCCCATATTAAGGCTCTGCTCCATCTCTATAAATACCCCAGCCTGCCCCCCTTTTTTACTTTTTTAAATTAATGCTGTTTTTAGATTAATACTGAGAAACGTCAAAACCAAAACTCTTAACTATCAGTTGAAGTTATAAACTTTGTATGATCTTTAACTTATTTTGCACATCTATTAATTCTATGAAAATGTTCAGTGAAATCCTTCCCCCCTTAGAAATGATAGACCTGTGGAGGCATTTAATAAAATAAATAGCCATTCATGCAAATGTTTCAAACATTTAAGAAGGGAAAAACTGCATGATGAAATTTTAAATCTGACTTAAATATACCTTTAAAGACATGGGTTTGAAATATACCTCATTAATATAATTGATTAACAATAAATAAATACTAATATTATGGAACAAATATACAAAATTTATCCTATGAAAAGAATTATAGTGAATATGTAAACTACAAAAAAAAGACATTTAAAATCAATATAAACTGATTACCTGCTCATTTTGTTAGAAACTTATGGGTCTGTCAGGTCATTTAGGACATCAGGGCTAGTAACCACGTACAATACCGTTGTTCTATACACACATGTGTACTGGAAATTTCCAGTCTGAGGCCTATGCAATTTCATATCTACTTGGGGAAAACCCTGCTGAAAATTTACAGCAGGCTGTCTGTCGGCAGTTATACAACAATCTGTATGATTAGGATACAAATATAACACAGAGATTACCAAAGTACTTGGTAGTGAAGCGGACGTAAAACCACTCAAACAATATGCCAAGCACTAGCTAAATCTGTGTAGCTATATATAAAGTGGTATAGTTAGTTAGAGGTGTACACAGGTTTGCATTACTGTTTGCACATTATTTTTTTTAAAAGTGATTATCATGCCAACTGTTACAAATTAATTTTATTAAAGCTGAGACATGGTCTTCAGATCATGAAGGAGGCTGCATTCTTACACTTAATTCTAAATTTTGAATGTTGATGAAAAGAAACATTTTAGACAGGAACGTGCATATAAACAAACACAAATATGTGTACATGAAAACATTGTACTCACTCGAAGCTAGACACCCTTGGAACCAAGATTTCAGATATAGTGTAGTGTACTTTTTACATTCTATACCAAATTTGTCATTTTTTTAGTCACCGTAGACAAGACGTCTGGTTGGATAGAGTAGTGTATTATGAAAATCATATTTTGATAATTAATTAATGAAGGACTATAAAGTTGTTCAATGACCTTGACATACATTCAAGGTCACAGCTGTCCATATGTGTTGTAAACCTAACCCAATTTTTAATAATCTATGACATTTAGTGTTATTTGCCATGTGCTGTAGCCTGCTATATGGTAATGGCCAATAAAGACTTTGAAAAAAGCTTACCTTGATTTCTTACCTGTATAGAAGGTCAAAGGGTTCAAATTTGTTTAAACATTCAAACAAGTTCTTGTATTGTACCATAATGCTTAGAGTACTGGTAATGATAGTTAGATAGGACCAAAGGTGTCTGTTTATTCTAATGAATGACCTTGACCCACTTTTCAAGTTCAAAACGATGAAATGTACAATATATGACCTGTGGCTTTGTAGGGTAAAGGACAAATAAATAACCTTGAGCCATGATGAAGGTCACAGAGGTCAAATACAAATGTATGTGAGAAAATGCAAAAAGGCATCTTCTCAAGAACCACAAAGACTAATATCACAATATTTGTTTGTTAAGTAGCTTGCTGAAGAGAAATGCTATAAAGCTTGTTATGTAAATTATATAGACTGCCAATAACTATTAATAACTTGAATGACGTATGATACCTAATATAAAGATACTGGGCCTGCTGTCTTCTGGGGAAAAGGGTTATCAAGATTATTTTAATGTTACAAAAGCATAGAATTAGATGTCCACCTCGAGCTCTGAAACCTCCAGCGAGGGAGATATCTTTCATACAATATCTCAAATGAGGGGTAAAATGTATGCAAAATATTTTCGTATCATTATTGTCCAGGAAGAAAGTGTTCACAGCACAAATTTCACATTGTTGAGCATATAGTAAGAATGATCGTTTTTTAGCTCGCTTATTTGGAGAATAGGGGGGCTAATGTAGTCACCCTGGCATCGGCGTCAGCGTCCAACCTTCTGAGGTTAAAGGTTTTGGGCAAGTTTTTTCCAGACAGTGTTGGATCATCACACTCAATACACAGTTTTCTATTATGAGGTTAAGTCATTTATATCGAGTGTAAGCCATATGCTGGACCATATTTTCATATTTTAGGGGCCAAAAACAGCTTAATTGGACTTGGTTAAAGTTTTGGGGCAAGTTTGATGATAAGATTTTGTGCAAGTTTTTATGTGAAGTGTTGGACAACCACAATCAATAGACTGTTGTCTATTATAAGGTTGAGGATTTATATGGAGTGTAAGAAACGTGCTGAACCATAATTTCATATTTTAGGGGCCTAAACTGGTTAGTTGGACTTGGTTAGAGATTTTTGGCAAGTTTTTTTGTGCAGTGTTCGATTGGTCACCACGATCAATACGCTGTTGACTATTTCACGTTGGCTAGTCATCTCTTCTTGCATGTACTTCACATGTTTATAACAAACAAAATGCCAAAAGAGACCTCTGTATGCATTTATTTTCAATGCATTTCATTTACTACCGTGATAACGGCCTGTTATACTGCCTGCTATTCACTACACATATGCACATTGCTGGGGTCAGTGTTCTATAAAGTGGTCCCAGTTTCTATGTTTGATAACTATAAGTTGACATGAGTTTGGGGCGTACATTTTTGGATATTAGAGGAACAAGGCAGCCATGCTAAGAGGGCAAAGTGTGTTATTTTTTACTAAAATGCACGCCGTAAATTCTCTTACATCATTTTAGTACACCTGAATTTCTTTTAACCTTTTCACCCCTAGGTAACTTTAGTAGATCTAGACTCTACCATACATTTATATGGATGAGTCCATTCTGGTCTAAAGTGGTGAAAGGGTTAAGCATTCATTTTGTTAATGAAGTCAAATATCGTATTAACTTTCGTAGAACAGCTTGAACTTAACCCTTATGTCCTTTATACACAGGAATACTCCCAATGGGGCCTGGTCTACAAGGGGCTGCCGATATGTCAGTACATCAGATACCAGTACCACCTGTACCTGTGATCATACCACAAACTTCGCTCTGCTTATGAGTCCAGGCAAAACGGTAAGGGGACATAACTCTAGACCACAACAGCTTAAAACAAAAGGGTTTTGACAATGAAATGTATTAAATTGTAAGTGGAATCTTTTTGTATATACTGTTGAATATGTAAATGTGGATTTTTAATTTAAAATAAACAGATTATTTTGGAATGTATCTTCAGAGATATCCACAAGACACTTGAATGCAGAATGAACTCTTTAAGGAATTGATGTGAGAATATGCTTCACAAATCGAATGACTTACAGTACGAGGGATGTCACATTAATGTTTTGTTATTAACCAATCTGACTCGATGCATTACAGCCAGTCCAGCACATGTTGGCCCTCAGTATCATCTCTGCCGTAGGCTGTGCCATCTCCATGTTGTTTCTGCTCATCACCATCATCGTGTACCTGTGCTACTGGAGGTTAGTTATCAGTGGAGCTAAAATCTACCATTGTAGTTGTGATCATGTCACACAAACTTTGATAGAGATTAAGTAATCAAGACAGCGTTATCAAAGCTGGATATTGCTATTCTTTCCTTTTTAAAAAAAAATCAATTTGATTAATAAAAAAAATGAAAAAAAATGAAATAATTGTTGCTTGACTAAAAGAAATGAAGTAAGTGGGAGAATAATGTTATGAGCGTTAGCATTTCATTATTCTGAAAATTATACATTAGAATTTTAAACAATAGATTCTCACCGTTAAACATTAATGTCAGTGTGGGAGTTATTTTTATATTCTCAGAAGTTCATTCTCAACCACAATAGTAAGGTTTGTTATTGACTGCTCTAATCCTGCAATGCATGACATTCAGTGTAACAAATGTATTTGGCAATACATGCCATTTGGATGAACCAATGCCTTGATTTATTATGCAAAAATATTTGCATGTAATTTGTATTTACTTACGAAAACTCCTGATACTCTTCAGCCTTCTGGATATAAAATATATATGTAAAATCTGTTTTAATTGATGAAGCCATTTTCTGATCCTATATCGCTGAGTTGGCTTTAGTCCAAACTTTCTAGATCAGTGGTAAACTTTCCAAAGTCAGCGTTTCACTTTCTTCAGCTGTATTTTACCTGCATTGATTAAAGGTATGTAAGGAGTGACCGAGCCACCATCCTGATGCATCTATGTGTCGCCTTATTTGCTGCCTACCTCCTATTCCTGGTCGGTGTCAACAGGACAGAAAACAAGGTAAAGCACCAATAGGGTAGCATCATTGGATTGACAGACCTTCATGTAATTGTCTCGCTGCCACGAAGTAGCGGAACCAAGACTAAGGTATTGCTTTTGGTAATGACGGTGGTGTCAACATTAAGTTTTTGCATTTAAGTTAGTTTCACTGAAAGTATAAGTGCTAGACTAACCAAGCATGGACTGTAGATGCATTTTAGGTAGTACATCTCAATCCACGCATCAAATACTAGATGCAGCCTACCTTTGATGGTCCATTGACTTTGTCAGCATCTCCATCAACATTAAGTATTTGCGTTTAAGTTAGTTTCTCTGAAACTATTAGTGCTGACCAACCAAACTTGACATGTCCATTGATGGTCAGAGCATACAGGCGAGACATATCAATCCGAATGGCTTGTTTTAAGAGAATTGAATTACCTGTTTGCTGATGCTGGTTTCCAGTTTGGCTCATCCCGTCTGTACCATAGCCAACATGATGCCCTCTCTGCAGTCTCAGCAATGGTCTTTGATTGCAGATTTGCGTCTTCCTCCTTAGGAACTTATTTTATGTCCTCAGCATTTTATGAACAAGTTTTCCTTTTTCTTTTTTTTTATTACACATATAATTACTTTCAAAATGGCTGATTATATGAATGAATCGCAAAAAGCTGCATTAATTTCTTAATACCAAAAATATAATATGCAGTTCATATGGTATTCCAAGGGAGGTAATCCAGGTAAAAATACAGTAACACTCAAGATTTCAAAGGATATGATGGATAAGTTCAATAACCTAGTTATCACATGACCTGAGTCTTTTTATGTTTTTGTGTGATTACATGTATATCTAAAAACTTGCTACTTTATCGGGGTTTGACACTCTTCCACAGGATGTGTGTACAGGTTTCGCAGCAGTACTTCACTACATTTTCCTGGTGGTGTTTTTCTTGATGCTGGCCGAGGGTATAGAAGTGGCGTTTACAGTACTATATGTGTTCTCAACTCGTTCCCGTATCCGCTGGCTCCTACCGCTATCCTGGTGTAAGTAACAATATACCTTTACAGCAGAGCTGTGGACTATATAGTTTACAAAATAGGAAAATTCTGGATTTACTCAAAAAGAAAGAAATACAGGATCTTGCATGAGTTTCCATTTCATATGAGATTTATGAAACGAGTCTAAGAGTTTTTCAATTAAGCAAGCCTAGCCTCTGGCGAGCTAAAAGGAAAAATTCATAATGAGTTTCATATATTTTATATGAAATGAAAACGAGTATATTAGATCCTTTATATCACATAATCCAGATTTGTGGCATTTATTCTTGTAAAACGACAATTTTCATGCAACCTTGAAATGTAAAAAGCCGCCATTTTGACTCCAGTGCGTAAGTCTGTGACGTCATATACTTGTCCTAGGCGTAACGTCACAATTGAAACTTACAACCAGTCACAGGGATGATAGGTCATATTACATGTGGGTTAATATGCAAAAAAGATATCACATGGGTATATTTCACTGGATAACACTGTACATTATGTGATAAAATGTTATATTATTGGATTTTTCATAAGAGGTTAGGATATAAGCATTTAAGGATGATTGTATAACAGATTTTCAAAAACCTACAAAAATATCCTCATCCTCTTGAAATTATGTAAAATATCATATATAATTTACTGGAGCCAATTTCTCAAACAATGAATAAAGCCCATTTTGTTCACAATATCATCTATCCTCCTTGTAGTTGTCCTTGAATCAGTTTAAATTACCTTGTGGTAGTATGGAAAGAAAATTCTTTGAACTATGCATTCCCTTTTTTTTAAGGAATTTCTATTTGTGTAGCGTTGACATCAGTAGTGAATGTAATTGTTTATGTGATATTCATAGTATCTAGATTAATGTGCCATGTATTGACATTTGCAGTGATTCCGGCAGTCATTGTTGCTATATCTATGGGAGCTACCAAGTTAGAGGGATACGGGAACTCACAGTTGTAAGTAAACTGTAAGGCGGGCAAATTTAACAAAATGGTGAATATTTGTATAGAGTAATATACCATATGTAGTCATCCTCGTCCGTACCGTGACATAAACACTGGGCTAATATGGATTTTACTGGTAAAGGGTGAAAACTTGACCACACAAATATATCCAAGCATACTGTATATACTGAGTTCTTGAATTATAATTAAAAACCATTGACAACTTGATAAAGATAAAAGGATATGCTTGACTGCAGCTTCCATCTTATTTTTATTTATTTATTACTCATTAATCGAATTACATGTAATACAGACAAATTACCCCCCATGGCAGTAAGAAAGATATATGCCAACCTGTAAACTAGGTTCCAAACCATGTCATTCAATTAACCTAGTAACCAGCCTTTGAGAGAGGTATATAATTATACTTCTCCTTCATACACTCCCTGTATTGCAGTTATCTTTGTTTTGAAATACTAAGAGGAAAATAATTTTATATTATGTCTTTTTGCTACTTTCAGTTGCTGGTTGTCTGTGTACAGTACAACAGGTGTTTTATGGGCATTTATTGCACCTGTTATTTTAATCATTGTTGTAAGTATTCATGTTGGTTTCTATACAGAACAAGTGTAAATATCTTGTAATTATGCAATACTATCCTAGATCTGTTCAATCTATAATCAGGTATGTGTCTTATATAAGTATACATTTCTGATAAGTAAGGCTCTGTCATCCTAAGGAGAAAAATGAAGGTCAAATTTCAAAAATTTCGTTTGAATTAGAAACACATTCAAGATCTACCTGTAATTTGTGTTCCATGTTTATGAAAAATAAGGCAAATTAACTTGTCTACTGCAAAAATACACGTTTTGTTGGTATTTTGGATGTGCCAATAAATAGTTAACTTGGGTGGGTCGGGTGGTGCAGTGGATAGTGCACTTGCCTTTCACCAAGGCGGCCGGGGTTTGATTCCCCGATCGGACGTGAAAAGGTTGGGGTCACCTGCCTGATCACGTGGGTTTTCTCCGGGTACTCCGGTTTCCTCCCACACTAAGACCCCCCCGAGTGCTAACAGCCGGACCAACAAGAGTGATTAATATAACTTGAAATAACTTGTTTCATATTAGTTGTTAAATAAATAAAGTTTATATTAAAAAGTTAACTTCAACAGATTCTGATGATATTTATGAAGAACTTAGATTCTTGTAATTTGGTTTCCATGTTCTGTTTTAACAGAGTGTCTTAATTATTAAATATTGCCTTTCAGTGTTAACTTATTTTTTGTGACATTTTCCAGATAAATGCTGTGATATTATTCCTTGTGATACGGGCTCTGTTTAACACCCACACAATGATGACCAAGGCCGCCCGCGAACAGGCAAAGTATGACAATCTTTCATCTTGGCATATCAACTGTATAAATTATTCAGGGAATTATAGGCAGTTCTTCCTCAGTAAGGGTGAAAACATTGTAAATCTGGAGCTTTTATTTCTACTAAGTGAAATAGAGAAACGAAAAAAGGACCAAACCAGCAAGGGTTATATCCCCAGCCGGCAATATTAGAAGTTAAGGATGACCTAATATAACCTCAGAACAATGAGGCTGAAGGCTGTGTTCAGTAGGGAATACGTTTTACACCATTTGCAGACTGGTACTTAGTGAAACTATAAATGGTGGGTCTTAATAGTGAAAAGACTACCTTATGACTTTGCACAACCAGTATTCAATTGCCAGAAAGAATTTATCTCCTATAATAATTATGTAAGTATATTGCCAACATTTTTAAGCAATGAGAGCTCAAATGGCAGTTTGTAAGAACTTCTTACTGATTTAGACTGACAAATGTATTTTATAGTTAATAAATATTTCAAGACATCTCAGGTTTTAAGATAAGTTATCTCCCTTAGATCATGTACCATTAGGCTGAAGGCTGTGTTCAGTAAGGAATATGTTTTACACCATTTGCAGACTGGTACTTGGTGAAACTATGGTGGGTCTTGAATAAAAAGTCTGACTTTGCACAACCAGTATTCAATTGTCAAAAAATAATTATCTCCTATAATAATTATGTTCTGATAAATATATTACTAACTTTTTTAAGCAATGAGAGCTCAAATGGCAGTTTGTTAGAACTTCTTATTGATTTAGACCGACAAATGTTTTTTATAGTTAATAAATAAAAGAAATAAATACTTCCAGAAATATTTCAGCACATCTCAGGTTTTAAGATAAGTTATCTCCCTTAGACCATGTACCATAAGGATGTACTTGACACCAACAAAGTGCATATACTTCATTTTTTTCTTAATTATTATTTCTTAGTCTTTTTGTGTATCAGTGCTGGCAACTTTCGATCAGAGGAAAGTGTTTAGGTAGAATAAGTCATTAAGATATATAATGATACAGCTGTATTGTTTTCTACTCGACAGGACTGCCATGCGGAGTCTGTGTGTCCTCTTACCTGTGATGGGCGTGGCCTGGATATTTGGTGTTTTCTCTGTTAATGAAGATATGGTTATATTTCAATACCTTTTTGCAATATTTAACTCCCTACAGGTAAGTTGATGATACTTTCCTAACATATGAATGATTGATTTGGATAACATGTTTCCAATAATGAACCAACACCCAAATTAAATGTGAAGTAACCTAGTGTGACTGTCTATACATTTAACAACTATCTTTTTCAGGGATTTTTGATTTTCCTGTTTCACTGCCTCATCAATAGACAGGTATGGTATAAAAATAAGGCCAAATCTATGACTATAAAGACTCAGTGTTATAATACTTCTACATGATGTTAATTATATATCTCCAGCTCTTCTGGGTACTCTTCTTCACCACAAAGGCTATGTAAACACTTTATACCTGTATAAAGGTACATTTGGTGGTTAAATGCACCAGAGAATCTAACCTCGTATTCAAACTGTGCTACAGAGTTGATGGCTTAGGATACTGATGTGTGTTAAATTAAATTGTATGTGTATCATAAGAAAACCCAATGATTATTTTGCACTTCATTTTTTAAAAATAAATATTTCCATGTTAAATTCCTTTTAAAGCAGAGTCTTCTATTTCTATTTTCTATTTCTACTTGTGTGCTGTATATTGTGGGATTATTGTTGTAATATGTTTTGTTCACAGGTAAAAGATGCTATGAATCATAGTCGAAGACGGAAGAGAAGTATGGCCGACCTGGGCACCAAGAGTACCTCCCAGAGCGGTAATTCTAATGCTGTAAGTATAATTGTCTTTGCCTGGTGTAAATTCTCCTGTGCTAATATCTGAAAGTTTTATATGATTTTTACAGTAATTAAACAAAGTTTGTCAATAAATATTGTAAGAGTGTACGAACATGATTTAATAGCGTGATGAAAAATGCTTCTGTAATCTATTGCAATAATTACGTACCAGTCACATATTTGTTTACAGTTTCTTAACACCTCCTAGCTCATACATATCAGGTATATTGGGAAACTGTTGATTACATTGTAATAATAATTTACACAATGTTTATTTTCACATGAATTTCAATGCAAATACATGTGCATGTATATATATATGTATCACACAAAACATTGTGTATGCCGAACCTAAGGCATTCACATTGAATGAAATGCAAATTTATTTTAGCGGATAATAGCAGAAAAGTCATGTTGCAAAAATAAGTGTGCACAGTAGAACTGATTTAAAATATATGTATAAACTTGGATTAAAAAGGATATACTTCTTTTTTATAATTGCTTTTATATCTATTACAGAAATCTTCCCAGAAAGATTTCTACGAACAAAAGCAAAATAATGTGGATGTCGATAAGAAAGGTAACGTTAATATACAGGACTGACAGTGTGTGATGTACCTGGTTTATGTTGTGTGTAATATGAAAACTTACTGTAAAATCATTAATTTTCGTGGGGTTTAAATTTCGTGGTATTCATATACTAGCCTGTTTAAATGACATTATTTTTCGATGATTTCTGAGTTTTCCCTATCTATATCATACCAAATTTATGTTTTTGGGGGGGGGGGTTTGTTATCCATGAAATAAACGAAATTTAATGTCCCACGAAAATTAATGATTTTACAGTACTTCTACCACAGCCACTAATAGGTTTCTTAACTCCGAACTCATTGGATAACCCTCTTAGGAATTGGTAAACATTTTGGTTTCCCAATATAGGGTAACCGCTTGGACATTTCAGAGGTCAATCTTCTAATTATGATGTCAAATAACAAAGCTTTGCAATGTAATCTTCCATTGTGAGGACATAATTCGTGGCAATTGTTTTTCCGATTGGAAACAGAAATGACCTATTCCCAAGAGAAACATATGGTTTTCTAGATATAATATCTGAATGTTGAGAGAGAAAAAGGTCCCCAAACTCATGATGCTTGATTTTCATATTTATCTTACGTATACATACTCTTACCAGTTAATTTTCAAATTGTAAAAGACATTCAGTAATATAAACCTCATGTCTTCATACAATTTTAGAAGGAAATAATTTGAGTTAGATACACATGTTGACAAACCAACACTCATTGGGAAACATCTATTTTAATATAACCAGAAAAGAAAAAAATATTGCATTGCAACACAGTATTGACAGTTATTCTTATGTATTTACCAGAAAATCCATTCCTGGAGGCTGATCGTCAAGTACAACAGATTGTGGACAAACTTTTGTCCATTGACAACCTGAATGCTTATGACGGCGAGACTAAGGAGAAGAATGCGGATAAGGACATCATCGTAAGCTTAGAGGATGTTAAAATTACAAATATATTTAAGGACTCCGATGTTACATCCGGAGAACAGTCAGGGGCAGTGTCATCAAGTGATCAATCGGGAATTGTATCGTCATCCTCAACGCCCCAACATCATGTATCTGCCAGTAAAACTCGCAGTGACCCGACAGGAGGCAACAAGCCTGTGCCAGCAACATACGAGCAACTGGGTCCCGAACGGAAAGATTCGGTAAGTTATAAAAAATGTTGTTCATATTGTCGGAGGTCCTTGGAGTAAGTAATAACTTGCCTGCTTTAAATAAATGTCCTATACGTGCATATAACTGTCTTGGTGTGAAATAAAAATATGTTGGAAGAGCAGGAGGAGAGATATCTTTGTATAACTGTATTCATACCTGCTTTTTTCAATCTTATGATAATAATTATTTTTCTCATGAATCACCATTCCATTACAGAAATATCACAGGTATGAGACAGTGGAACAACATCGGTCAGATCATGGGTCTAACCGTGGATCGGATCGTGAGCGACACAAACCAGTTACGGGTCAGATGTCCCGGCCTGTTCAGTATAGCCATGGATCTGACCGTGGATCGGATCGGGAGCGACACAAACCAGTTACGGGTCAGATGTCCCGGCCTGTTCAGTATAGCCATGGATCTGACCGTGGATCGGCTCGTGAGCGACACAAACCAGTTACGGGTCAGGTGTCCCAGCCTGTTCAGTATAGCCATGGATCTGACCGTGGATCGGATCGTGAGCGACACAAACCAGTTACGGGTCAGATGTCCCAGCCTGTTCAGTATAGCCATGGATCTGACCGTGGATCGGATCGTGAGCGACACAAACCAGTTACGGGTCAGATGTCCCAGCCTGCTCAGTATAGCCATGGGTCTGACCGTGGATTGGATCGTGAGCGACACAAACCAGTTACCGGTCAGATGTCCCAGCCTGTTCAGTATACCCAGTACAGTCGACCAACTGCTAGCACATATTACAACCCGCAAATCTCGCCCGCTTCATCCTCGACCCGATTTTCCTCCACACAGACACGCTCAACTGTTGTGGACCCCTACAGCTCTTCTGACATGGAGGTATGATTGAATACTAATGTACAAATGATGTTTCACTTCCCTTTTTTGAGGTTCAATATGAATCTCTCAAACTTTAAATATTTTAAATATATGGTAATGGTATAGGGTATAAAGCTAAGGTTGAATCTAAATGATAGTAGTCTGAAAAGGTGAAGTCATTCATTTATTGATTAACAAAGAGATAGCTTTTTTAACAAAAATTACTCCTATGGGTTATCCTATTTTAGCTATTCAGATGTATTATCGTTTCTTTATTATTATGATACACATAACAAAAATGCCAAAAACAGGGGGAAAAAATGGAGTTATCTCCCTTGCATCAGTAAACATCTATAGTTTCCCATTTGTTTAGTTCAAGGAGAATCAGTACATGACAAGGATAGACACTATTTATCAAAAGGAAGATAGAGCCGACTCGAAGAAAAAGGTCCAGAAAAAGAAGGTTAGTAGTTTAACACTAGGTGGACGCAAATGCATGCAGAACCTCACCTACTGTGTATAAATAATTCCTGTATAATATCACTGTATGAGTCCAAGGTGAGTGTCACTCTAAGAGTCACTCTTGATCACTTTTCTAAAACCTGCATTGGAGACCTTTGTTGGCTTAATCAAATTTGTTTTTTGTGTTTATTTGTTTTGTGACAAATACATGATGAGTATGTCTTCACTTCCAGATTCATTAAAAGTCATTTCAAATAGTATTGACTGCAGCAAATATACCTTAATGATGTTCTAATAAAGTTTTATGTAATACTGCATACCCGAAAGTTTCGCTAAACAAAATTTGCGCTTCTTGCAATTGAAATCCCTATTTGCCCAGTTTTAATTTCGCCCTTGGCCTGTATTGAATAAATGTATAATATTGTTCTTAAAACCTGGGAAATTTCCGGGTAAACAGTATGTGGAGTATAAAGTGACAACATTCAGTCATTATGTTTAGATTATTGTATACACGAATACAAAAGTAAACATATGAGGACTTTGACCTTGTGTATCTCTTTCTTTATACAGCCATTATGTAACAATTTTTAATTGTTTATTGAGCATGTGTTAATTTACAATGCAATAAAAAGATAAATGCATGCAAGTATGCTTACATTTATTTCCAAATAGATTATTGTTTTCAGCACAATATTTGAATATCAAACATTTTATTTCTGTTTTGGTTAATTGAAGATTGTTTTAGATAGTTTTGTTTGTTTCTATCACACCTTAATGCATGCACTAAATGACTTACTTTCCAGAGTAAAGAAGTACAAGATGCTAATAGAATCAAACAGGACCTGTATGGTCTTCCTCAACCAACAACTGAGGTCAGTGGGTTCAGACGTTTAACAGTGTGTAGTTGTTTAGATGAATCAATACTTTATGTTAATGTGTTCAGTTACTAGTTTCTAACATATAGTTTGCATTTTTAGAATTTAAAATTATACAAATTAAAACTGTTTGTCGAAATAAAAACACAGTTTTAGATATTAACATGTCGTGCCAGTGATATCAAAAGAAAATAGTATTCCTGTATTAGCGATGCCTCTCTAAAAGACCAGGAGGAATTCTTCGTTTTGTGCCATGTGATTTTGGAGGAAAAATAAAACAATAAAATCATATCTAATGTTTCAAAACTGTGTTTAAGGGTAGGAATGACATTTTATAATAACAGAATTTTGAAAATTGAATTGTTTAATCTCAAAAAAAAAAATTCGAAATTCAAATGTTTAAAATGGCTTTTTACTCTGTTCATTGATNTTTTTTTTACAAAATAAAATCTAGAAATTATTGAAAAAATTCTTTTGATGAATTTTTTACAGGAAACTGTTTCTAACCATTTTTCACTAAGAATGTCATCAAAAATGGAATTTTCAAAATGGAATTTTCGAAATTCAAATGTTTAAAATGGCTTTTTACTCTGTTCATTGATGTCTTGACTCCAATAAAGCAACATGTTTTGTGGCTGTGCTTTCAAAATTACATACCGGTACACTAAATCTCCCCTTTACTTATCAAATCAACCTAGCACTAATTTAGTAACTAGGTAATTTTCTCATACTGATTTTAACATAATATACTGACCTCTGTTACTAATGAAATAACAGCTTATTTTCTTCATAATATATTAAATGATGTTATAATCAAAGCAGACTTATTCTAATACATGATATATGTTGTCTTTGCTTACTAACTCAACTTTGTTTCAGTAGTCGAGTTACATTTGTAAGTCAGAGTAGTAATTGCTAAGATTATATGTAAATTTGGCGATACGGTATACAGGTTGGTTTCAGCTGGCTATTCATGTAACAATTGTGTCAATGAAAATATTTTTAGCATTGTTTACATTCCACCCTATTAAATCAGTTATAATGTGTTCAGTAGCCTATAATCACATACAACTTTTAAAGTAATTTTCTAAAAGAGTCTGTGCAATATTGTTTCCTTCCTGATTTTTATCTGATTATTTCCTGATTGTAATGGTTTCAAGCAGAAACAAAATTGGATTTCTGACTTAGCAATCATGAAAGTATTCCAAATTACAACTTTAATGATATATTATATTTCATTTTTAATACAAAATAAACTTTGGTAGTAATTACAATCACCGTGAAAGTCACTAATTCACACTTAAAGGAAAGCAATCTTTGTACAGTATTGTATATATCCTTATCTTTGCCAGTTCTTCCAGTCTTTGTTTACATGACTTATAACCACTGTAATCTTTCATCATAGATAGTGAGGAATATATCCCAATAGAGATTGGACTGAGTAAGGACTTTCATGATATTTTGGGTACGGTTGGGTAGATCATGGTCAGTAGTTGAGCATGTTGAATGATCTTATTTAGATGGATGCTGTGTTGTTTATTTGTTCAAGAGGTCGGCAAATGGATATTAGATTTTTAGAATGTTGGAAATACCAAGGCTGTGGTGATATTTTACCTGTATACTAAATCACTTATATTTTGTTTCATTTCAAAGAGAAGATTTTCAAATTTCGGAATAATGTGCTACCTGATGCATTATATCCCAGGAAATTGTGTCAAAGGTACCTTCATTTACAAATGTAAACAAGTGTTGTCTGATCAATCAGAATTACAAAAATGTTACAAAAGCTTACCTTTTTATTTTCATGAATTTATTAAAATAAATGTCTGAATAACCATGCATTCATAAAAAATACTTCACTTGATCTTCATGCTCAATGTAGGGTATCTTTTCGATTATATTTTATTTTCTTCCTGTAATTATCTGCAGGGTAGTATGACAATATTCTTGGATAGAGAGGTTTGAACCACCATTCCCTGAAATAAACTTTCTCAAAATATAAGTGGTTTACTCCGGGCTACCACTGATACGGGGTGATTGATGGGAGCACCTGCTTTGTGACAGAAACCTGCATTAGGTGCAGCATACACATACATCCTGGTGTATCATATCAAGGCCTGTCAAAATGTGTAAATTGTTTGTAACTCTTCAAGGTGCATGTTGGTGTAAGACCGGGTGAAAGGAAGTGTAATGTTTACAAGTTGTCCTGCTCAGTAGTCTGCTTCTTCTGTTCTGTATGGTGGCCACCAAAAGGACAAGTGTGTTGCTGTGTATATATGTCAGTAATACAAACTACAACTTCTACATAGAAATTAATTATACTGATACTATGCTGAATATAACCATTTTATATATTTGCAACTAATACACTGCATATGTTTTCACTATACTGATACAATCCTGTTCATAACCATCATAATATTTTGTAAAGAACGAAATATATACTATGCAATATATATTATGTGATAATTATAGTGATAACATATACTAAATATTCATGAAATATACAATGTCATATGCGATGAATATCCTGATACTATACTGAATATTACCATTATATTTTGCAATAATACAAATGCTCAAATGTAATTATGTTTAATACTTTGATGTAGCCATTATATTTGCTGATAATTTCCATAATAATAATATGATAATGTATATCATCATTTTATGGAGTGTTAGCATAGTATTTATCAGTAATAAAATAATACAGGAAGTGATATTTATATACATGTATATGATTTGTGTAGATATCATTTATATTTTAGATGATACTTATTTTCAATTAGATTCACAGGAATCACTGATAGCGAGTTTGAACAAAACTTACTATACAGAATGTATTGTATAGCCTTTCACCTATGATAACACAACAATCGTCGCATTTATGTTTTAATTATCCCTAATAAATAATAACTGTCGATGTTAATACCTGACATATATATTTAAATGTTTCATGTCTGCATACAGGTAGTATACTGAAATGTACTATATCTTTATAGATGCGCATTAATAATTAAAATATATACCTAAATATACGTACAAATACATTACACAGTTTTTTTTATTGTATTGCTGAAATAATAGTAATTTATATTGTATTGCTCATGATAAGTCACAACAGGAATATGGAATAATGGAGTATTTATTGAATATTGTTATAGTCAAAAGGTGTAAGCATAACACTATAATTATAGCCACTGTTTATTGAAGTGTACGGTATTATAAGACTCTTCCATGCACAGGGGTGAAGATATAGGGAAATTCCACCCGAGGGGTTTTCAAATTTGGTTAAAACTCGATGCTTTGCGGAGATTTTAGCCAAATTTTAAAAATCCAGAGGAAAATAAGAGAAAACAGTGTATTGACTGGTGCGTGACAAACAGCGCTGTGATTTAAAATTATATACATTCTAAATTTGATGTTTAATCGATTTCGTTTGTAAAGTGTATACTTGACTTTTAATCGTTATGAAAGCTTTTAAGCATGCTTTGACTGCGACTATTCTACGAAGCTTGGATATGATAATTATAACATGTACAGCTAGCAGTTGTTAAGGGCACTGACGTTCAATATCAAGTTCCATTGTGTTTAATCATATTATTGTATGGTCATTTCTTTTAATTTGACTTTTTATGCTGGTTACAATAAATTTATAAATATGCGATTAGGAAACAAGTACAGAGCTTAAGATTAAATGGTCGATTTGTGCTAGGATTGAACATTAATGTTTATTTTGTGTAAGTAATTGTAATAACTACTACTACCTGATACATGTGATGTACCCGACAACTTAATATGTCTTTGTCAGGTAGTTCGGCTATTATGCAGTGCGATAACATCATGTTCACGTACATTTTTAATATGTAAATTGTGTATGATCGCACATAATAATGCCAAAAATAACAATTCGTATTTCTTTTATGTTTCCACGTTAATTTCACAAAAGTATAATTAAACATGATTTGTTTGCGCATGTGAAAATAATGTGAAGTTTGTTGAAATCATAATGTATTGAAAATGGTTTGAGATCGTCTATGCATTTGAAGAAGTGAAATAATTGTGCAGATTATACTTAACACTCAAGGAAAAGTATTGTGAAATTTTCTAGCTCTTGTGGGTAAGTAGAGAGTGGTTTTATCCCCAAGTGTTCGCTATGTATTGTCCATTGTCTAGCAGAGTGTGTGTGGCTGAAGTGCTCCCTTGTTAATCCGTTTACTGTGTGATTTATAGATAAAACAGGAAATGTAGACAAGCTATTGTCAAGTTTTCATTTTGACCTGAATAGGTTATTTAGTGAAAACGACATACGACTGATAGACATTAATACCGTGATCTTGTGAAGGGGGGGGGGGGGGGGGNGGGTATCGATAAGAGGCCCTCAGATTTCTAAGTGACCACTTGTTTTATCTCTGATCGAACGTAACGAGACAGTACACAGCAAGTGCTGTATCAAATTATACAATGGGATAAAAATAATACAAATTGTCACAAATTTAAGTGCAGCAGTTTTCTTGTCGTACTTATTTAGATACAGCCGTGTAATCGAGCCCATATAGTCATCTAATTGGTATGCATATCATCTGAAATTTTAAGATTTGACATTTCAAAGTGAAATGCATTATCGTACATTTTACTTTGACAGCTTCCTTGTGTTAAATGTTGATGAATATCCTCGTATAATAAGTGTTTTCACACCTGCCGTATTTATATTATACTGATGTAGATACGTCATTAGTACATACTGAATCACATCTCCTGCTGCTACTGCAAATTCCATATATAAAAGTCTGTTTAATTTTACAATGCTTGAAACTAGACCGAAGACTAACTGCCAAATTTGTTTAAAAGACCAGAGTTTGAGAATACTTAACTCTTTTGTAATCTAAAATTACTAAATTTCAGGAGACTGAATTAATGAGTGGAGTTAAGTATAGATTTCGTAGATTCCCAATTTATTTCTTTTACGAGGGGGTAGATCAAGTATTGTAAAATATAAAGGAACTCGTACATAAGCAGTCGCAAGATCCCAACAAAAAAGCCGACGCAGGTAATCACTGCACTAGTCAGTAGAGGGGTCACTACCACTGATGCATCTGTGGGGCCGGGCAGAGGGTACATTAACTTCCTTCTGTAAATGTTTTACACATATTTGTCATAGTTTAAGTTAATTAAAACACATTAATGGACATTATCACCCGCAAAGTAATATATACTATTCGGTAAATAGTGTTAAACGTGGAAAAATCGAAAACAGATCACCAAAGCAAGAACCAAAGTGGATTATCAAAAACTCAAAATGGATGAAAATATGGTAAAATTTTAACTTGCTGTTGGACTCGGTTTTTAACTAGACTCACATGCTCACGTCAATAATATCTAAAAATCTGACGGATTACTTGTTTCATTGATAAATTATAGAACTCTTTATTTATTTTATTTATTTTTAATAAATTTAAGAAACCATTATTTCTATAAATCTGATTAATTCGGGAGAAAATCAAAATCCAAACAGATCAAGAAACAAGCACGAGAAATTTTTCTCTCAAGATATTCAGGTAATTTACACATGTATACCCCCTGAATGCGCCTCCACATGTGTTTGATTTTTGAACGATTGTGACGTGTGTGTGTGATTATCACTGAACAGGAAGGTAGTGTCGTTGCCGTGTGCCGGGGAAGCTAGTGTTGTGCCGTGTGCCGGGGAAGCTAGTGTTGTGCCGTGTGCCGGATAGTATTGAATAACCACTGTCTGTTGCATGATGTATTGTCTGACTAAGATATGCATCACTCCACTGCTAACCGTCTCCCAGACGTCTCCAGTAGTAGGGGTGTCAAATTGTTTATTTTTAAGAGAGAAAAAAAGGATAACGTGAATAGGTCTTTCCTGCTAACAAAAAGAACAGTGTGTATCTTGTTTAACAACTTTTTCTTGATGCTTCATTTTTATAATGAATTATTCTTCGGGCCACACAAAATATGATCTTTTATCTTTTTTTTTCTTATTTATTTCAGAAACTATTTTCTATTATCATTTTGTTTACATTTGCTGATAGAGATGTAAAGGCACTTTTAAAAAAAAGAAAACATTTGTTTGAGGATATTAAATTTTTCTAATTTTCGGCTGCAAAAAGAATTACACGCAGGGTAAAAAGATTAAGATGTCGAAGTAGAAAGATACTGGAGTGAACAACATTTCTGATTTCAAGTTTTAGGGGGCCGTTGATCCTAACAATATAAACTTAATTTGATATTGCCTGAACTTGTTTGTTATGTTGTAGCAATTTACACTGATAGCACGTATCTTTCATTGTTTACATTTCCCGTCATATCAATAATAAGACTGATGGTTTTTTTCTGGAAATTACGTCATCTCCCAAAATAGATTAATTTAGAACGCAAGATAAGAAAAGACTGTTTTTTGTCCTTTTTTAATACCATGATTCTTTCAATGTTTTCTAGAAACACAAGAGAGCGTTCCCCATACCACACTGGGGCAAATCTAAAGCTTCCACAGAAGATCCATATTCGCGCCAAAGTCAACCACAAGCACCACGGTCGAAACAGAGCAGACGACAACGAGAGCGCGCTCAGGCCTACGCCGTGGATTCCTCATACCCCTCCACCCCAACGCACCAAGCCTACCATACCCCTCCATCTCAGTACCAGCCACAACCTCAGTCCGGGGGGTCGCGTCACCAGAGCCTGGAGAATATCAACATGCAGTATATGGGTATTCAACCATTCGGGGGCATACGCTCATACGACAACATTCGACCTGCCGAAAGACATGATTATCCAATGCCTTTGCATGAACCTTACGCCGACTACTGGTGAAGTGTTTACTTCCTGTTTGTGTTCAATTTACACGACCTTGTGTGTGCAATTGTTTAAATGAAAGTATGGTATCTACTATGTATTACTCTGAACATGTACAGATTTAACAAAATGACATGCATAGATCAACGACGTTGAATTTTATTGAAACCATAAACCTATTACATGTATATACAAATTATATCTATTTGATATACTCTGTCTCTTGGTGTTTATTAAGAAGGTTTCAAACTCTAAGGTACACAATGTAAAGAAAATGTTGTCTGTCTCTTCAAAGTTATGGAGCTGTTTTGATAATCTTTAACAGAATGAAATGAAACATTGTCAATTACTGTTAATTGCATTATCAAATTAAATTATCTTGAAAGGATTTGTAAAGAAACGTTTCCTGTCTCGAAGCAATGACTAAGTGCTGTGTACGTGGGTTTTTAAAGCCTAGTATATTTGGGGAATTATGTATCAATTGATGTGTCTCACTGCTAAGCATTACTTAAATCATATCGGTTTTATTATTTGTCACGTGTCATAATATTTCTAATTATAGTAACTTCTAAGTGTATACATTTATAAGCATAAAACAATATGTATATATGTATATTCTTAAATCGTTTTTTTTTTGTTTTTCTTGATATTACAAAAATGCATTTCTTGATTATGTTAACTGATATTTGATCCTGTTAAGGGAAACCTTATTGACATTACATTAGCCCGCGCCTTGCAATAGCATCCCTGTTCACCAATGAAACACTTAAGAGATATGTATCTGCCTTTTAACTCATTTCTTCCGTTATTTTCTGATATTATCTCAACTGACCTTTTTACATATTTCTCCCTTAGATTTTAATACCTTGATTTAGTACAAGTTCTTTCAGCATGTATGTGAACACGGATTTTATAGCTTTTTCTATAGTGTTATTTGTTCTCGAACCGCCGGGAATTCCTTCTACCTTCCTGGAGCAGATAAAGGTGTTTTCACATCAAGGTGATAATTGATCTTTGCTTGAGGAAGTGTCGTTTTATCGAGGTAAGAGGAAGCATACAACATATTTATTCGCCGATAACGTAAATGTTAGGGCGATAAAATATGTTAGATATACGGATTGTCTTTTCGGTCGGAATGTGTTTTGATAAGGATCGTCTTAATAGCATGTAAAGTCTGACATTTTAAATGCCATTTACGATGTTTAAACATGTCGAAATAGTTGATTTTTGCCCTATACCTCTTCTCCGGTATTTAGTTTCGTATCGAGGTGATAAGTGTGCACAGGACATATTTGTTTGACAAGTGAGGTGCCAATTTCTTTTATCTCTTTTTGAACTATTCTCGTTGTTTGAAATATTACAGTTCACTGTACAGGAAATACGCCATCCTAACTGAACATTTCCCGAACAGAATGCTAGTGTGTTGCTGTCATTGTGGATATCTCTGAGGCGTGTGCTGTTACAAAATTAATAAGTTTATTCGTGAAAGTGAATGTAACGCAAAACCCTGAAATTTCGTCAAACGGATATACCATAAAAACTCTTATATATGCAATATATTAGATGTACACATTAATTATTCTAGAGCAATTGACGTGACTTTCAATGAAAGTGTAAAAATCAACTTCTTGTGCAAATGCTTTTATTGAACGTGCCAAATATATTAAATAATCATCTTACTGATACTTTAGTCCATTTTGTAATAGAAAAGTATTTAGTTACATAAATGAAACTGACATTTGTGTCGAGTCCTGTAATATAAGTATATGCAAACAATAACAATATATATATATATATATTCCTGAATTATTAAATTGTGAATATATACATGCCCTGCAATGAAACTGAAACAACGATTAAAACATTCATTTTATATTATTATTTGTATGTTAAAGTTTCGGGTATATGTATTTATTTTTGTTCATACTTGCCACTATTTGCTTAAAGTCCGCAAACATATAAGCGGCTGACTATACGTTGAATATGATAATGCAAGTAGTTATGTAACAATGTGCATGTGATTCATATGAGAAAAATCAAATTCATCGAATGTCTCCAGAAATTTGTTCAATATTGCATATCTTTTTGGCAAAATAAACATTATTTTCACAATAATTTTGTCATTTTTGTGTATATGCAAAACTATTGAGTAAGCTGATGCAAATCCTTTTTATCATATTGGGTATTCATGAAAATGTTCGTTTTATCATTCACAAGAACAAATATTGCCAATTACAGTTAGACATAGCAGATCTACTATTTCCCTGAAGCTGCACGTGTGTATGAATATGGTGTATTATGAATAATAACATGTAATTGGCGGCTACATTAAGCTATAAAACGTCACAGCAGTCAATGAAAAGGTTTATACATGACTTTTAGCAGATTGAGAATAAAAGTACTTCTGTAATTAAAATATTCAAAACACCCAATACAAACATCCGGGTCAAGGTTTGGTTAGTGGTCAAGTTTTCGATATGTTAATAGTCGTTCATATATTAATAGGTACCGGTTATACCATTCCAAAACTAGGTTTTTGCTTCTTATTGGAGAGATCCCTTTTCTAGTAATCGTTAAGCCAATGCAGTATAGTAAACAATTGAAGTTATTTACTGTGGTGCTGAGCTATTTAATCGTTGCTTCAAAACAGACCAAAAATTGGACCGAAATTAACATTCTTACTGCAACATATGTTCTTATCGTCTATTTAGGGGAAAACGTGTCATTAAAATCGTCTGTATCGTTACAAAATAAAATGGCTGCAACAGATACTTTTTCTTAAACTAGTATTTCGTGTAAGGGTGCAAGCAACTAACACACATGTCATTACTGCAATGTGATTTTTGTTATGATGTATCAAATTCAATCCACATGTGCAGTTTCGTGAAAAAAATAAACCTGCTGTATCTCACTTCATGAGTGTATGATGCAACTAGCTGGTGAGGGCACCTACGCAATCTGGTATTCGTCACAGGGAAAAGGATTAAACGTAAATACCTCTGCAAACACCCATTCATTGCGATATCCGGACTTTCATCAATTTTCCTTTTTCACCCTCTATTTTGTTTCACTTCATGTGTTTTTAAACTTACTGTTTTCTCAACCTTTATTATATGGCCATGCATAACCTTATTTACTTGATCGACCATTATAATTAGACTGGCCCCGTCTCTAGAACATTGAATCATTTAGAAAATAAATAAACTCTAATAAGTTCTAAGCTAGGGGCATATAAGCTAGTAGTAAAATGCATTTGAGAAATTCTCCATACAAACTTGGGAGCTGGTAGCCAATCTACATTATAATGTGCATGTGTTGGGTAGGGATTGGAGAGAGAATCACTCAATGTCGTAATTTCACGTATTTTGACAGGCAGTAGTACTTGTTCATGCATAGGTATGTGTGGAATTAAAAAATAAAATACACTATCTTAAAGTGATTGAATTTCGATATACCTATTCTTTTTGCCAAACACATTAAGAAGATTTTGTTATGGCTATTCTTTCTTGTCATGGTTGCAAAGATCTTTTTCCCTTCACTACGAAAATATTTTTAGTATCGCTGTTATATAACGTAAGTACAGTTTAGAATAACCGTTTTCTTAACAGTTTTAGTAATTGTTTTTGATAAATATGTAAGTTGTAAAATGATAACTAATTAGGAAATGATCAGTGCTATCATAATGTGATAAAAACAAACCCTGCTGGTCAATTATACTTTTATATTAGAAATGCTACATTTTGCAAAGAACAGTCAAAGGACCAATTGATCTTCACATTGGGTAAATCATTTAATTTGTAACGATACGAAGATATAACAGCAAAGTCGTATAACTAAGGACATATACATACATTGCTAGTAGGCAATGCGACCAGAAGCGATGAATGTATAAACGTTTCATTTCTTTTTATTATTATTTTCTTTTACTTCCGTTACTTTGCAATCAAGAATCAAGCTTAGAGTATATGATTTTGTAAAGTGCAAAGAGATTTTCTGAATCTGAAGTCGGCAAATATTTTTATTTGACAATGACAATTACCAGCTTTAAATACATATTAACTGTATCTTTGTTTTACTTTTATTACCATATAATGCCATGTTGTGAGTTATTAAACGTGTACCTGTCATGTTCGATCGGTGCTTTCTGGTTCTTTGTGTGTTAACACGAAGCCCAGTGTCAGATATCCAGTCCTTACTGGAAGCATGTAAATGGCTGAACAAAGACAATAAACGAAACTGTCTGTCGGTCTGACAGGTTCCCCCAACAAAGACATCAAACACGCACTTAAGAACAAACGCATTGATTCTATGATCATTTGTAGCTTATGACCATTAAATTGATTTTGAATTAAAGATGAGCGTGCTGTTTTTACTAGCGTGATACCTTGTTACTAGACAGCGATGAAGGGTCAGGTGTGTACAGATAGTTTGTCACGTGATTGACACTAGCATCGACGCCGTTATCAATTCTAAATTAATGATGAGCGTCACTGTTATCATACACCTTAAATATCTTTTTCTATCGTTAACAATACAATGAGATGTCTTGGTCACGGTGCGTTACTTTTGTTCAGGGTCCAGTGACTCCTGTCATGCAAATTGAATTAGATAGACATTAACGAATCAGCGATACTCATTTCACCAGAAAAAGTAGAACGAAATTAATATGCAATGTAGCGAATTGTCTGTAATCGTAAGAAGAATATTTTAATAGAAACTACCGTTTCAATGGCCCCATTTTTATGACATTAAAATTAGTTTTAATGTTCAATTATTTGTCGAGTTGATCAGTGCTCGTACCTGTGGGCGAAAATGCATTCCAAGTAGGACACCAGCACAGACTGTAACCTCACAATGATTGTTTATTATCAGATCAGTAAATGGGTAGTTTTGATGTTGCACGTAGTAATGGCTACATTGTTGTTTTCAATTCCATATTTTATTAGACAAATCAACATTGAACAAAACAAAATATGATGTTTGAAGACAAACAAAATCCGACCAATTTGTGATTTTCTGTGTGATTGCATTGTCTGTCCCTGTGGTTTTATAGAGGTGTGAGTTTCTGTGTAATTGCATTGTCGGTCCCTATGGCTTTAAAGATGTGTGAGTTTCTATGTAATTTCATTGGTTGTCCCTGTGACATTAAATATGTGTGAGTTTCTGTGTGATTGCGTTGTCTGTCCCTGTGACTTAATTGAGGTGTGAGTTTATGTGTGATTGCGTTGTCTGTCCGTGTGGCTATGGAGAGCAAAAACTGAATTTGCTATTTTTATTATAAATTCTTGTTGCGTCTCACTGGGAATCACTGTTAGCCTGGCTGTAGACTGTTGCTGCCATGTTCTCGTGTCCCAGTTTATTTCATTGAGCGGACCCATTAATCTAGAGACACCATCGTCATATGACTTAAGCTGTTTCGAAGACGCTAACATCTTAAACAAACAAGAAAACATAAATAATGATGCAGAGGAAATAATTTGCATATACAACATAAATATATGATATCATTATCACATTATGTATGCAAATGAATAATGCATGTTCAAAAACATTGAAAAATTTAAACCGAAGAAAGGTGATATCTGAACAGTATTCTATTATATTAGAACACACAAGAACAAGTTAGAAGTCGAAGTAGACAGGGAAAGACCAAACAGTAGATTGAATGCATCTAAACAAAATAACCTTAACCACAATCCGGATAAGATTTAAGTGAACTTGAAATGTAAGTGTTGCCTCATGATGACTGCGTTTTTATCCCAGAAAGGGGGTTAAGTACTTCTTGTGTAACACTCAGTCAGCTTGGTTCAGTCACTGAAATCCCACCCACGGGTTCAATAAGGTCATTATGAGTAATATTTTTATTGGTGGACTGTTATACAAATGTTAAATATTTTAAGAAAACTCGAAATGAAATGTTATCCATAGGCAAAAGCAAAATTTTGCACTTTCCAAATTCTTGATGAAACTATGCGTATTAAATCAGAATGTTTTTGTCATTGAATGTAATTTGAGCTCAAACAAGACTTTGAGAAATTTATTCGAAAGTGGAAAGTTTTAAAATATTACATTCGACCTAATCCACTCAAAATCATAAAAAAAAATTCACATTCAACATAGAAGTTAAATGAATGATTCGTTTCATCTGAATTCATAAACTCGACAGCAGATTTATCAGAGGATTTATAATCATGCCGTAATAGTATACAGCTGAATAGAGACATCCCTAAGGAGTATATCTCTATTATACGCGATATCTAGGTATATTCATAGGATACTCAAATAATAGACGTAATCACGTGGCCTATCTTTTCATACTGGTAATCAATACGTTTTGTGGGACTTGATGTGTCTAATACGTTTAAACTATCCTTCTTTCCCGAGAACTTGTCCGACACTTTCCATTTTGTTCTTTTTGAAATTATAGATGATGAATACTGGTAAGCACACGTAAATGTGCATCCATATTTTGAACCAATATCTACGATGACCGCCCTTGCGTCTACTTTAGTAGGACATTTAGGACTATAGCCTAATGTTAAATAGGTCGATTGACATCATATATACTTTGTGGAAGATATACTTAGACTGAGTATGTTAGATCCAATTTATCGATATTAAAGGTTTTGAAATTCAAGTATGGCTATTGTGGCCTCCGGTTGGTAATATATCGAGTTATATCGGGCCTTCTTTTTAAATATGTTTGGTTGTAGTGATACATGGGGGGGACTTTAAATTGAACGATTTTAGACTATTTTGGGTTATACTATAAGTTCCGTTAGTTTTCTTTACTTTTAGTGATACCGGGCTCCTTTTTGTCCAAACTTTGTGGGAGTGATACGTAGGAAAAGGGTTTCATATTGAACATCGACTATTCTTTAAAGATGGCAGTCATGGCCTGTGTATGACATTGCACAGCTATATCTTCAGTTCTATTACGCCGATTTGAACTATGCCTAAAAGTGCAGCTTGTGCTACCCCGCACATTTTGCATTTGCAGATGTAATTTGAGAGGCTTCCAAACGATCAGCTGCAACCTTTTCTTGTTATCCCTATTGCATTTTTGTTATATTTTATTTGTCTTTACCGTGTTATGAAGCAGTATACA